AAATGTTGATTCTAAGATGTATAATAAAATGCACTGTTGACACTTAAAAAAAAAAAAAAAAGGCATTGTTTGCTCCTGGACACTTCAGGCAAAATAAGCATGATGTAGCAAAAACAACAAAAGTAACAATCTCAGCCTGTTAATGGGTCAGGATCCTCTCTTGCTCACAATCCACATAGCTCCCCATTGCCCCCTCAACAAAGTTGTCCTCCAGGCTCCCATGCTCTCCTCAGGGCACATAGGCCTTCTCCTTGTCCTGCCTCGTTCCTTCACCATCCCTGTAGTCCTCTGTGCCCAGCCACCAAGACCCCTGGGCTCAGAGCCCTGCCCAGCACCTGAGGCCTCTTTCAGCCCCTGCTGGAGGGTCACTTGCTCAGTGGTCTCCTGCCCCAAATCCCCATGTAACTCTCAACCTGCCACAAACCGGCTATGACCCAATACCCCTTGCCTACACACATGCCCACAGCATGCTCCGAAGTCCAGCCAAGCTTCTGACTTCTTTGTTGTCCACAGAAGGGTGGTGTGCCATTTGGTCCTCCTCTATCTCTTGTGGTTTAGGTTTAGAACTTTCTCTGCTTGTCCTTTTTCTTTTTTTTTAACATTTATTTATTGTTACATTTGTTCTTCTTTATTGATTTTAGAGAGAGAAGGAGGGAGAGAGAGAGAAAGACAGAAACATCAATGAGAGAGAACATTGATTTGCTGCCTCCTATATGTCCCCCACTGGGGATTGGGTCCACAACCTGGGCATGTGCCCTGACCGGCAATTGAACCAGCGACCTCTTGGTGCATGGGTCCACACTCAGCCAGGGAGCCACACTAGCCGGGCTACTTGTCCTTTTTCTTGATAGTGACTCTCTGAGGCCACAGAGTTTGGATTCATAGTGAAGTTGCACTGGCATCATGGGTCCCATGGGAGTGCGCGCTAGCCTGTGCTGCTGAATATAGCAGCCACCTGCCACATGGGGCTATTTCAACATAAATTACATTAATAAAAATAAACTAAGTTTAAAATCCCACTCCTCGGCTGCTGTGGCCACATTTCCCTGCTCAGGAGCCCGTGTGGATGATGTGTTGGGCCTCAATGAACATATCAGAGACCCACAGTGCCTGCCACAGTGTGTGCTCCCCTGGTCAAGGGGATAAAGTCGGCCTGGCCTCTCCATTGGAAAATATGATTTTTTTTTCTCCCTTTGCAACTAACAAGTAATCTGGGGGGGGAGGGTGATCCACAATAATTTCAAGTGTGCATTTATTGAGCACTTACTGTATGTAGGCACTATGCAGAGCATTCTCTATGAAAGAGGAAAAAAACAACTTCAGCCTCTTTGTCGTGATAGCACAGGTGTGGGTCTGTCTGTCCACTCAGGGTGTTGGCCTCCCAGGATTATGAAACTCGGTGGGTAGGTCTGGAAGATTCCCCTCAGCCTCTGCGTCACAGCTAAAGTCATCTCCCTCCCTGACCACCCGATTCAATTCAGATCAGCCATCCCCATAACCCCCCATGCCCTGGCCTTTCTCAGAGGCTCCGTCTGGCCCCTCATGGTGGGCACTCAATATCAGACCCGACACCCCCTTGTTTGCTTGTCTCCATGCTGGTCCCCAGGCTATGTGTGACCACCTGGCATGTGTGCTCATTTTGTTCCAGACCTAGATGTCCATTGCCCCATGCCTCCTACTTCCATGTAGCCAACCCCCACTTTTTTTTTATTTTTATTTATTTATTTTTTATCCTCACCAGAGGACATTTTTTCCCATTTTTAGTTCAGATAGAGTGGGAGGGAGAGAGAGAAAGAGAAACATCAATGTGAAAGGAACACATCGAGTGGTTGCAGCCTGCACGACCCAACCAGGCCCGGGGACAAACTGCAACCGAGGTACGTGCCCTTAGAGGGAACCGAACCCGGGTCTCTCTGGACTGCAGGCCAAGGCTCTAACCGCTGAGCAAAACTGGCCAGGGCACCCCCACTTTGAATTGTAGAGTGTGGGGGTGTTGGGAAAGTGGGCGCTCAATAAATGTTGGTGGGAGGAGGTAGCAAAAGTCCGGTGATAGGTTGCAGGGGCCTCAAGATGGCTTAGCTAACCATACTCCTCTTTCACGCAAGCATTTAACACTGACTGTCTCTCACCAGCCATAGAAGTAACAACCCAAACGCTAACTTGTACAATAAGGTGCAAGTGGGGAATGACAATACCCTACTATGTCAAGGGGCCCCCTAAACCACAGGGCAGGACAATAAGCCCTGTGGGGAGCTAGGAGCCACCACGGTACCGCATGAAACTCACGGCGGCTTACGTATTGAACGCAGTACTCAAGGTCCTCCACAAATAATTTAAAGACGACCAAAGAAATTACTTTAGGAGGTCACAGGGTTAGTGGATGGTGGGTATGGAAGTAAACACAGGTCATTGAGCTCTAGAGACCCTACTCTGAGCTGTCATGCCACATTGCCTCGAGGCGCCATCAGTACTGGCTGGTTATTGCCTACCCATTTGTCTTATTAGACAGGAAGTTCTGGCTGAACATGATGCCATCTTGTTCACCTGTGTAGCTTTAGTGACATGTGTAGGCTGATGTTGGGTAGCTAAACGGGCCAAGAGGTGAGCCATCAGGAGGCAGAAGAGCAAGGTGGCGCCCTCGCCATCATTTCTTTTCTCCCAAGGTTGAGAAAGTGCCAGCTGGAGGCAGGGGCCTGCCAGGAGATGGCCTCTGTGCTCAGAGCCAATCGACACCTGGTGGAGCTGGATCTGACAGGAAATGCGCTGGAGGTCTGAGGCTGCTGTGTCAAGGTTTGAAGCACCCAGCCTGTAGGCTACAGATCTTGTGGTTAAAGACTTGTCACCTCACTGCTGCAGCCTGTGAAGACCTGGCCTCCACCCTCAGTGTGAACCAGAGCCTGATGGAGCTGGACCTAAGCCTGAATGACCTGGGGGAACCCAGGGTCTTACTGCTGTGTGAGGGCCTGAGGCACCCTCAGTGCAAACCGCAGACTCTCCGGTTAGGCATTTGCCGGCTCAGCTCTGCAGCCTGCGGGAACTGGACCTGAGTTTCAACAACCTGGGAGATTGGGGCATGCAGCTTCTGTGCCAGGGGCTGCGACACCCCACCTGCAGACTCCTGAAGCTGTGGTTGTTTGGGATAGATCTGAGTAAAACGACCCACCAAGAACTGGCTGCGCTGCAAGTAACCAAACCCTACCTGCACATTGGCTGCTGACTGCTTCTCTCTGCTGGGTCTGCTTCTAAGGCAGGACAGAGGAAGGTCATCCCAGCACCCACTCCTCGACAGTGATCAGGCTCTGTATTTCCTCGAGAGACAAACTCATAGGCAGAATAAGCCTTTCTGCTTGGGGGGTCTAGTGCAATGGAGCTTAAAGCTCTAGTGTTGGGGATGTCGGTGCCACGAGAGAACTGAGGGCTGGGCAGTGGCTCCCACCCCAGGGTGATTTTGCCCCCAACTCCCACCCTAGGGGACACTGGGCAATGTCAGGAAACACTGGGGTGTTGGGGAGCTAAGAGCCTCTAGTGACTAGGAACCAGGCATCCTGTTCAGCATCCTACAATACACAAGACAGCCCCTAAAGTATGTAACTGAAAATGGAAGTGTGTTGTCCAGCTGGGTGGCTCAAATGGTTGAGCATCCTCCAGTACACCAGAAAGGTTTCAGGTTCGATTCCCAGTCAGGGCAAGTATGGGAGGCAACCCAATGATGTCTCTCTCATCCATAAAAATATCCTCATGTGAGGATGGAAAAATAAAATAGCCCTGGCCAGTTTGGCTCAGCAGTTAGAGCGTCGGCCTGCGGTCTGGAGAGACCCGGGTTCGGTTCCCGCTAAGGGCACGTACTTCGGTTGCAGTTTGTCCCTGGCCCTGGTTGGTCGTGCGGGTGGCAGCCACTCGATGTGTCCCTTCACGTCGATGTTTCTCACTCTCTCTCCCTCCCACTCTATCTGTACAAAAAATGGAAAAATATCCTCGGGTGAGGATAAAAAAAAAAAAGAAAATAGAATTGTGCCCAAGTTGAGAAACCCTGTTCTCAAAGATTAAAGGTGCCATGGGTGCCCTGGCCGGTTTGGCTCGGCGGTTAGAGCGTCGGCCTGCGGTCCAGAGAGACCCGGGTATGGTTCCCGCTAAGAGCACGTACCTGGGTTGCAGTTTGTCCCCGGCCCTGATTGGGTTGTGTGGGTGGCGACCACTCGATGTGTCCCTTTCACGTCGATGCTTCCCTCTCCTCTCTCTCTCTCTCTCCCCCTCCCACTCTATCTGAACAAAAAATGTTCTCTGGTGAGAATAAAAAATAAAATAAAGGTGCCACGGGCACACCAAGTGCCTGGGGAAGGCTGGTGCACCCAGTGCTTGTGAGGCCAACAGCCCACAGTAGTCCTTGCCATCTGGTTTGTCGCCAAGATTTGGGCCCCTGGCTGGAGCCCAAGGGACCGTGGCTGGACACCTGCCAGCCACGCAGCTGCAGGCTGACCAGTAACCGCTGGGTGCTGGATGAAGAACAGGAAGGAATCAGTCAGAATTTCACTGTTGGGGATTTGAACTAGGGGACTTGGGACTAAGTTAATGATTGTTGGAAAACGTCACAAGAATGTTGAGTGAAATCTGTATGGTTTTTGGAACCAATGGCAGCATTTACAAATGCTGAAAAAAAAAAGAAATTACTTTACAGTTAGAGCAACATAACTTACAAATTCTATTTGACCTGGCTTTTTACAGCTCCACCTCAAAGAACATTTCCTACCATCGCGCATACGTAAAGTGTCTTTGATAACGTTAAACCCTACATATTCACTAGTTTTACCGTCCAAGCGCGTCCTGGCAGCCGCGGGGCATTGTGGGGGCAGTATGTAAAAGACTGGTAGACGCAGCCCCGCCCTCCGTCGCGGCCAGGCGAAAGGGCGGGGCCACCGCGGGCCTACCGCCGGCGTCCCTACGTTCCCCGCAGGCGTAGATGGGCCGCTCTTGCTGGCGCTGCGACTCGCTGGCGTCAGCAGGGGCGCGGAGGAGGAAGATGGCGGTGGCGGCCCTGGGCCCGTGAGGATTGCGGCGGCAGAGGAGACGGCCCATGGCGGCCGGGAAGCGCCCTCGGGGACCCGCGGGCCGCTAGGGCGCGACGCTGGCCGGCATGTCGGAGCACGCGGCGCCCGGAGCCCCGGGGCCTGGGCCCAACGGCGGCGGCCCAGCCCCCGCGCGCGGGCCCCGCACCCCCAACCTAAACCCCAACCCGCTCATCAACGTGCGCGACCGGCTCTTCCACGCGTTGTTCTTCAAGATGGCAGTCACCTATTCGCGGCTCTTCCCGCCTGCCTTCCGCCGTCTCTTCGAGTTCTTCGTGTTGCTCAAGGTGACCGCGGCCCCAACCCCTGACCCTTGACCTCAGCGACTGGATCCACTCCCCTCAGACTCGCGACCTCTGACCCCGATCCAGCCCAGGACAGCCAGCCCCATTCACTTGGAGGTCTAGACCCGGTCCGATCTTTTGGGTACCCTCCCCTTTAGCCTGTCCCCCAGCTTCTAACTCCCTGCCTGACACTTCACCCTTGGAAGGCCCGAGTTTCATCCTGTGGTGGCTCCTGAACCCGACTCCAGGAACTCCCAGCCCTTTGTAGGCTGCACCCATGCTTGACCTCATCCTTTCTCCAATGACCCACTTCCCGGAGGCCTAGAGCCTTTTCTTGACCTGCTTGAGACCTCCTCCCAACCTTCTGTCCCCTGCCTTGCCACGTGGGATCCTCAGCCTTGGGAAGACCACCCCCACCCTGTTCTCCCTTGCCTGTCCTGGCCTAGGTTCTCAGTCCTGGGAAGGATTTCAGACTCACCCTGCTGCCCTTAGGACACACCCCCAGGACCACCCACCTACACTGGAAGTGCCTCCCCTTTCATCTCTTCCTTCTGCTTCTCCTTTTCTTGGGGCTGTTCCCCTCCTTGGGACCTTCTACCAGCTCCCCGCCCCAACTCTTCTTCCTCTGAGCCTTACAGGGGAATGCAGCCTAGCTGAGGACACCTCACCAGGGTTAATGACAAAGTCACAGCCATCGCTGCTACTCATGTCTTAACAGGAAGCTGCACACAAACCTCCTTTGCATCCTCCCTCAGGTGGCATAAAAGGTTCAACCATGAGTGCAGCTCAGGAAGGACCCGCATTGATCTGAGTCCCTCCGTGGAGGGGCTGGCTCACTCAGGTGTGGGCCCAGAGCTCCCTGGGTGCCAGGGTTCTGGGTTCTTGAGTTGAGGGGTGGTCCCTGCTGTTGCCTTACATAGCTGAGGAAAGGGGGGAAAGGCATTTAGTTTCCTGTCAGAGATCTGCCAGGGAGGGGCTTGGGGTGCTGACATTGCCAAGCCAGCTTTGGGTTTGTCTGGGGACTAATGCTGGACGTGGAGGCACTTGGGTTGCAAGCCAGCCCCAGGGCCTGGAGAATATGGCTGGGGGTGAGCATAGAGGCTTCAGGGTTAGCTGTCTGTTTCCCATCACCTGGGCCCACCCCCTGCACTTCACAACTCCCATCACGAGCTCAGTGGTCCCTAGACACTATGTTGGGAAAAGGGTTGGGGTGCTGGCCTGTGGGAGGCTCCTCTAGCCTTCCACATTGCCTCACACCCCCTCCCCCTCCCCCACACACACACCTAGCAGAGGACCCAGTTGTGTCTTGTCTTAAGCATCTGTCTGTTGAGACCTGAACGCCCAGGTGTTACAAAGGCTGTTTGCTGAGATCTTAGTGATGCTCTAATCTCCATTCCCCTGTGGCACTTTTGTCTGCAAGCGAAGAAAACAATTCACATTGGTCCAAGAGAGATCTTGGAGCTCATGCAACTGGGAATCCTGAGCATGGCTGAGTCCAGGCATGCAACAGTGTGCTCAGAGGTGGGACCTCTCACCATCCCTCTCAGGTCACAGCCACCATTGCCAGGCCAGGAGTGGGTGCCTTAATGACCTGGCCTTTGCCCAGTCTGCAGAGCAGACTAGAGGGGAGGCTGGGTGGTCCATAGCTGGCATTGGTACCACCCTATGGGGTTCATGGCCCAGTAGGGATGGGGTTCTAGTGGCTGTGTAGCCATCGGCAACTCACCAACTCCCTGAGCATCAGTGTCCCTGTCAGAGGTCAGGGAGGGGCTTTGTGCTCTGGTCTCTCTTGTGATTCGGCTTTTCCAAGCTGTAGTTCAGACCACACAGTCAACTAACTGGTCCTGGAGAGTAGTAATTTGGTGTTGGAGCACATGTGTGGTGGGAGTGGTCGAAGGCTGTGCTGGCCCAGCTGAAGGATCACCCCAGTCTGTGGCTGAATTGCCACTGGGGTCACCAGTTCCCTGATACCCACCTTTTCCTGTGGAGGTGGGCACCACACTGGGCCAGCTGGGCCCTTTCCCCAATGGTGGAAGAGTAAGTGGGATGCATGGGGGTGATGCCCTGGACATGCCCTCTAGTCTAGGAGGGTGACACTCAGCCAACTGGGGCCCCATGAGAAGCAAGACTGTCAGACAGTGAGTTGAGCTCTTGGGAAGGAGTGTGTTCCTAAATATACCCAAATGGAGGGCCCTTTTGACACACTTACTTTGAGCTAGGCAGAAGGTGCTGTTGGTGACATAGGGCAGGGACCCCCTAGGCACTTCCAATATTCGGCTTATTCTTTGTGGGTGGCCATCCTGATCACTAGGGTGCCTAGCAGCATCCCCTTTGATTCCAGGAGCACCCCCAGCGTACAACCACAAATGTCTCCACACCTGGCCCCGTGTCCCCTGGGGGCAGGACCACCCAGATGAGACCCCTGTTGTCCCCACTTTACTGATGGAGAAACTGTCTCAGAGGGCCCCTGCCATCATAGGAGGGATGCAGAGTGTACCTGGCAGGCGAAGGAGGCTGTTTTTAGCTGGTGAGGTCAGGGGCACTCTGAGGACAAGGCAGAGTGTTAGGCAGCTAGTCAGGCTTCTTGGAGATGGTGGGGGCCCAGCAGGCGGCCCAGGGGTGGTAGCACCTGGGCTGGGCTTCCCAGAATGGGAACAGTTAATTGATGTTCTCTCCCAGGGTGGGGGTTCCACATGCATGCAAGAGTGTCTCATACTGGCTCACACTGAGCAGGGTGGTCAGGTCTTGGACCAGTGACACCACCAGCACCCATGCTTCCAGGAGAGGCCAGAGTGGGTTTAGGGCTTAGGGAACTTCAGAGCCCCGGGGTTCCCTTCTGCCCCCAACAAAGCTCAGGCCTCATTTTCTGGGTGGGGCCCCCTTCCCTCAGGCCCTGTTTGTGCTCTTCGTCCTGGCCTATATCCACATCGTCTTCTCCCGATCGCCCATCAACTGCCTGGAGCATGTGCGGGACAAGTGGCCACGAGAGGGCGTCCTGCGTGTGGAGGTACAGCAGAACTCGAGTCGCGCACCCGTCTTCCTGCAGTTTTGTGACGGTGGTCGCAGCAGCTTCCCTGGCCTGGCTGTGGCGCCTGGTGGCCTGGAGCTGGAGGAGGAGGAGGAGGAGCTGACCATGGAGATGTTTGGGAACCACTCCATCCAGGTGCGCTGGCCAAGTGCACATGCAGGAAGATGTTGCTGCTAGGGAAGTTCTGGACCTTGCTGGGTCCAGCATTCATGTGGCCTTGGGTGAGATAGGGGTGCTGTGCCAGGTAGACTGTTACCTGAAAGGGACTGGCCTCATTCTAGGGGTGCCAAGGAGGCCCTGAGAGGGGCTGGGCTGAGAGCTCTAGCAGTCCTGGCCCTCCCAAATGACACAGCTGCCCAAATTAGGGGTGGGTGTGGGGCCCACAGCCTGCATGGAGAGCCATGTTTGTGCAGTGAGAGGCGAGGGTCCCATGGGTAAGGGGGCGATGCAGGTTAACTGATACAGACCTCACCCAGGTGACCCTGTCCCCAACTCTGGGGCACAGACACTCACCTGGAGATAACTAGGATCTTGGTGTCAGGTGAAGGGGGTCTTTCATGAGATGCCAGTCAGAGGCTGGGGTTCACAGTGGATAGGTAGAATAAGTCTCCTTCCAGGCAGCAGGAGAGGGGCCTCTGTGCCAGACCTCCAGTGCCAAGTGCTCACTGACGCCCTGTCTCCTGGTGATCCACAGTTTGAGCTGGACATTGAGCCCAAGGTATTCAAGCCACCCGGTGGCCCTGAGGCCCTGAATGATAGCCGGGAGTTCCCCTTCCCTGAGACACCATCGAAAGGTATGTGTTGCCATGGTGTTAGATGGAGTCACCTGGGAGGGGTCACACCCCTGGACAGGGAGAATGGCCACTCCGAGCCTCTGTTTCGCATCTGTCAGCAGCATGTGAGGCTGATGGAGGTGTTCCTGAGCCCTGGTCATGTGCCCTCTCTGGGCCTCTCTGAAGGTGGGAGGTGGAGTTGGCTGGGGCTCTGCTGGCTGACAGGCCATTCCCACCCACAGTGTGGCCGCAGGACGAGTACATTGTGGAGTACTCACTGGAGTATGGCTTCCTGCGCCTATCACAGGCCACGAGACAGCGGCTTAGCATCCCAGTCATGGTGGTCACCCTGGGTGAGTCACCATGGGGAGAGCCAAGGTGGGGGGTAACTCAGAAGCACTTAATACTGAGGTCTGGTAGCCATCACTGCTCCAGCTGCAGGAAGCTTCCCCCAAACCCTTTGTCTCGTTGGACCATCCCCCGGGGCCTGACAGTCACAGCACTGCCCAGGTGAGGTGGACGGGGTCTGGTGGAGGCCTTACCAGATGCACTCCTGTTGGCATGCCACCCACAGACCCCACAAGGGACCAGTGCTTTGGAGACCGCTTCAGCCGCCTGCTGTTGGCTGAGTTCCTGGGCTATGATGACATCCTCATGTCCAGCGTGAAGGGCCTGGCCGAGAATGAGGAGAACAAGGGTGTGATTGGGACCAGGGGAGGGGAGGGTTGGGGGTGTGCAGTGGCAGGGTCTGGAAGGCAGGCAATGGTGCTCACAGCCTCCTTGTACAGGCTTCCTTCGGAACGTGGTGTCAGGGGAGCACTACCGATTTGTGAGCATGTGGATGGCCCGAGCATCCTATCTGGCTGCCTTCGTCATCATGGTCATTTTTGTGAGTATTCTGAGACTGGACTGGGGCAGAGGGTGTGGGGGCAGATGGCCCTTCCTTGGCCTCATTCAACCTTGAGTGTGTCCATACTGCTCTGGTATTTCCCAGACCCTGAGTGTGTCCATGCTGCTCCGATACTCCCATCACCAGATCTTTGTCTTCATTGGTGAGTCTCCTGGCCAGATGGTGGGAGGAAAGGTGGGCTCAGCCCCCAGCCCCCATGGCCCCCTGCCCACCCCATACCCCAAGGGGCACCTCACTCGGTCTGCCCGCCCACCACCCTCTGCCCGCAGTGGACCTGCTGCAGATGCTGGAGATGAACATGGCCATCGCCTTCCCTGCAGCGCCCCTGCTGACCGTCATCCTGGCCCTCGTGGGTGAGGACCCCTCTGCCCACCCTTTTGCGTTCCCACCCAGTCCCCCATATCCACCACCCCTCTGTCCCTGGCCTTCCCATCATGCCCACCACTACTGATGGCCTCCTGCAGGAATGGAGGCTATCATGTCGGAGTTCTTCAATGACACCACCACCGCCTTCTACATTATCCTCATTGTGTGGCTGGCCGACCAGTATGATGCTATTTGCTGCCACACCAACACCAGCAAGAGGCACTGGTTGCGGTGAGTGCCATGGGGGTCCAGGCGGGGTTGGGGTGGGGTATGGACTGGCGGCACCTCACTGTGCCTCCCACAGGTTCTTCTACCTGTACCACTTCGCCTTCTATGCCTACCACTACCGCTTCAACGGGCAGTACAGCAGTCTGGCCCTAGTCACCTCCTGGCTCTTCATCCAGGTGAGGGGCCCCACCTACTCCCTGAGGTCCAGCCTGTGGGAGGTCCGGCCCTGTGCTGGGCCTGACCCACGCCCACCCTGCCTCCAGCATTCCATGATCTACTTCTTCCATCACTATGAGCTGCCTGCCATCCTGCAGCAGATCCGCATCCAGGAGATGCTGCTACAGACACCGCCGCTGGGCCCCGGCACCCCCACGGCGCTGCCAGATGACCTCAACAACAATGGGGGCACCCCAGCTGTTGCCCCTGACCCTGCCAGCCAGCCCCCCGCCCTGGACCCTGGCTCACTGGGGGTTGGTGGTATCTCCAGGCCTGTGGCTGAAGCGCCCAGCTCTCTGGTGGCTGCAGCGGCTTCAGTGGCTGCAGCGGCCAGTAGTGATCTGGGCTGGATGGCAGAAACAGCTGCCATCATCACAGACGCCTCTTTCCTGTCCGGCCTGAGCGCCTCCCTCCTGGAGCGGAGGGCAGCCAGCCCCCTGAGCCCAGCTGAGGGGTTCCCTCGGGGCCTTCAAGCTCCCCAGGACAGTGTCCCCCCGAGTGACTCCCCAGCACCTGACACTGCCCCCCTAGCTGCCAGAGCAAGTGGGCCCAGCCCTGAGTCCCTGGCCCCAGCAGATGAGCCCTCGGAGATTGGTTCCTAATTCCTGGGCAGCTGAGTACCTCTGTCCCTGGCTGTCTAGGCTAGCTGGGTATGACCTGGCTGGGGTCCTTGGGGTCAGGGAGGCTATCCCCAGTGTCTCTGAGACTTCCCAGTTGGCCTTGTGTCAGGGTCCATCTGGTTTGCCCAGGGGTGGGCTCCTCTTCCCTGGGTGTGGGGCCTGCCCACAGCCTGTCCTTGCCACATTTGTGGTGTGCCCCCTTAGCCAGCACATTGAGGCAGGTTGATGAGCTGGGGCAGGAAAGGGGTGGGGTCTCCATGGAAGGTTCTGGAAGGGGTTAGTGTACGGTCTGGAGCAAGCTGTATCTAGGGGCAGAGACTAGCAGGCCTCTGAGCCAGGTGAACACTGGTAGGGACCTCCCTTGCAATCCTGGCTGCTCAGCTGGTGCTCTGTTGTGTGCAGTGCCTTTTCCACAGCCCCTGCCCCTGTATGCGTGCCAGGGCTGGGGTATTGGCACAGGGACATAGTGTTTGGGCACCAACTGTCAAAGACAGCAACCAGGCGCTAGGGTCCAGCCTTGCTCCTCCTGGAGAGAGCCAGCAGCCCGACTATGTTACTTGGTGAGGACTGCAGAGTGCTCATTCCATTCTATTTAATTGCAGTGTACAAATTGTGTTTGTATATAGAATAAACTGTCTGTTGACAGCACCAACAGCCCAGCCAGTGTCTGCATGCAACAGGTGCTGGGATTAGTTCTTGCAGGGTCCGCTGTCATGCAAAGCCAGGTGGGCCGGGCGTAGTGGGCATGGCCACCTCCCACAGATGAAGCTGGTGGAGATCACACTAGGAGGTCCCCTGGTGCTTCCCTGCAGGCCTAGAGCAGACACTGCCTGGAAGCTGGGCCAGGAGCTCCCCACGCCGCACCAGTGCCTGGTGGAGTCTTGTGCGTGCATCTGCAATATGCTGCTCCAGTTCCTCCAGTTCCCCTGGATTTGGGGCACCAGTGGGCAGCATGGTGGGTGGCTGGCCATTGGAGCAGAGCCAGGCAAGACCCTTGGGCAACCTGGTCCTCTCCATATCTGTACCCACTGCTGGTGCAGCAGTGGCCAAGGCTGGCTCCAGTAGGAAGTGTACGTGACACTCCCTTACTGTGGCCTGGTGTACCTGTGTCCAGTCGCACTGGCTTGCAGGGGCAGTTGGTATATCTTGCTGCTGCTTCTCCAGACCCCTAGGGATAGAAGATAAGTGGGGCTGGGCTGGTGTTCCCTCTCTGTTCTCTGGGGTCAGGGTCCCTGAGGAGGCTGTGGGATGTGGGAACCATGGACTGACTAGGAGTAGGAGTGGGGCCCACAGGCTTGAAGGCGAGTGTTGGAGCTGGTGGGCTGGGAGTGACCGCCAAAGCCCCTTACCTGGGCTCAGGTTCCTTCTGTCTGTCCAGTGGCTGTGTGTTGAGGGCACGGTGGATTCTCTGTGAGCCAGACAGAGCCTGGGTTGGGTTGAGTTGGGTTGGGAGGCTGATTGGGCTTATCCACCCTGTGCCATCTCCTCACCTGGCTTGTGTGTAGCCAGTACTGCAACCTGTTGCTCCTCCGAATGCATGGCAGCACCAGGTGGTAGAAGATGTACTCCCCCAGGGAGCTGAGCAGGGCACTACCCAGGCCCAGACAGAGCAGCACAAAGAGACCCGAGAAGTGGTAGATTCCCATCTGCAAGGTCTGCAGAGGGTGTGACACAGGCACAAGCTCTTCATGGTCATCGCAGACCCTTGGGGAGCCCTGGCCTAGGGCACACAGGTTGGGCCAGAGATAGACCTGGTGCAGTGTACTTGTATTGGGAAGCTAGGGCTCCGTGATCTGGAGCAAGGTTTCAAGGAGGAGAGGGCACTGGAATTGGGGTTTTGTAGTATGAATAGGAGAACACAAAAGCAGACAAATACACATGAGCAGGGAATTGGCCCCCTCAGTCAAGGCCCATGCAGGCTCAGGACTCCCACACCTACCCTCACCCTGTGTCCCAGGCCCTGTCCCACCTCTGTGACAGCGAACACCCGCTTCCCACAAGGCACCATCTTGTACCACTTGTCATGCAGCAGGTCGATGAAGCCAGAGGACTTGTAGCGGCTGATGAACTCTGACAGGTTGGAGGTGAGCGGTGAGTTCTGAGGGAGTCCAATGCCATAACCTGGGGAAGGCCAGGAATCGGGTTGGGACCAGGCTAGTCATAGCCGAGGGGAACTGCCCACCTTCAGCCCTCCTTGGCTCCCTGCTGCTCCAGGACCACTGATCTCAAAGGCCCCTCACCCTCAATGGCGAAGGGCTTGCCTACGGTTAGTAGTTTACAGTCGGCATCGATGGAGACCTCGTAGTCCAGAAGTGATTTGTCCATGATGAAAGCGTTGAGTTTGGGGGGGTTGCTCCTTCAGGAATATGGAGGGGGTGAGCTCCTGCCTGGGTGGGCCCGCGCCTGCCCTCCCCCGCCCTATATTCTGGCCTCACGTGAGCATGGCGACGCCCTGGGGCGTGGTGGGGGCGCTGTGTCTCCGCATATGCGCATGCATCTCAGGGAAGCTCTTCTTGATGTAGGCCTCTGCGCTGCTCTCCCACACAGTGCCAAAGCGGAAGCCCTGGGATGGGTGGTGCAGCTGCAGGCAGGCAACCCATCAGTGCCAGGCGGCCCCTGTGCCCTCACCTGGCTTCCCACCCACCTCTGCTGTGGCCCCCAACCCAGTTCCAAGGCTCTCAACCAGCGGCTCCCCTCCTGGCTGACAAGGAAGCTGGTTCATTCTGTCCCAGGCACTGTGAGTATGAGTGTAGAAGAGCATCCCTGGCCCCATCTTCATGATGCCAGGAGCAACCCCATGTGATAACCACGAATGTCCTCAGATGGCCCAGTGTCCCTGTGGGCAGAATTGCCCAGTTGAAACCCATTAAGTACCTAAAGTCCACCACACAGACCTGAACATGAACTCTAGACCTCTGCCTCCTCCCACCGCCTCCTCCACAGCTCCTTGTTCTCCCGCTTTTCGTCTCACGTCCCGTCCTGCAAATCCTTTGGGTTCAGCTCTGCCTTAAGAATACCCACAACCACCAAATAAATAAAAATAAAATCAATAACCCTGGCCAGTTTGGCTCAGCGGTTGAGCGTCAGCCTGCGGACCAGAGAGTCCCAGGTTCGGTTCCCGCTAGGGGCACGTACCACCAAATAAATAAAAATGAGAATACCCACAACCAGCCCTGGCCAGTTATGCTCAGTGGTTAGAGCGTCAGTCTGTGGGTCAGAATCATGGGTTCAATGCTGGTTAAGGGCACATACTTCCGTTGCAGTTCATCCCTGGCCTTGATCGGGGTCATATGGGAGGCAACCAGCCGATGTGTCTCTCTCATGTTGATGTTTCTCTCCCCGCCCCAACTCTTCCCTCCCTTCCACTCTCTAAAAAAAATCAATGGAAAAAAGATTTTCAGGTGAGGATTAAAAAGTGTTTTTAAACCCAGCCAGTGTGCCTTAGTGGATTGAGCATTATCCTATGCACCAAGAGGTCAGTGCTTTGATTCCCAGTCAGGGCACATGCCTGGGTTTCAGGCTTGACCCCCAGTAGGGGACATGCAGAAGACAGCCGATTGATGTTCTCTCATTGAGGTTTCTATCTCTCCCTCTCTTTAAAAAGAAAAAAGTGTGTGTGTGTGTGTGTGTGTGTATAGATATATACACACACACACACACATATATATATTTTAATATACATCAACCTTTCTCAGAAGAATACCTGACCCTCATTTGAGAAAATGTCCCAACATTCCTGGGTCTTTGCTCTGCCTTATTTTTGTCCCTGGCACTTTATCACCATCTCACACACCATCTGTTTTTCTCATCTATCTTGATTCTTGCCATGCCTCTACCAGGTACAGGGATCTTTGTTTTGTCCCAGCTGGGTCTCCAGTGGCTGGCACACCATAGGTGCTCAATAAATGTTTGCACAAGTAGATGGCCACATGTGGCTGGATCTTGGGAAAGGCAGTGGGTGAGCAGGCAACCTCCCAGCGCTGGCTCCTGGCCCCCACAGCCACCCACCTTGGGGTCGTGAATCCCTGACAGCTCCTCAAATGTCTTGTCCCCGACCATGACGGCAGCCAGGTTGGCTGTGTAGCTGGACAGCACGAGCAGGCAGAAGATGGCCCACAGATTCATGAGCAGACGCCCTGTGGGGCACTTAGGTGTTTTGCTGGACACTGTGCGTCCAAACAGGATGGCGTAGCAGAGGTTCAGGGCTGAGGAATAGGAGAAAACGGTGCCTCGGTTCCGGCCACGGGGAGTGAGGCCATAGGGACTGCGCCACTCATAAAGCGTGAGGAAAAGTGCGGTGAGGTGCAGGGCAGCAAAGACACCCAGCCACATGGTCCAGTGCAGGGGCCACATGAAGGCACCAAGGGGTGAGGCTGTGTCCTGCACCCGCACCATGATGCCCAGGCTTGTGGAGAAGAAGGGGCTGCTAAAGTCCACCACCTTTGAGCGGGCCGAGTTGATGCTGAAGCTGGTGACTGCCATGTGGGCCCTACCTGCCAGCAGGTCACCCACAAGGCCGGTCCAGCGGCCATCCCTCAGGGCACCATATTTGCCATCACCCACGATGTACAGCTCAAAGTCAAAGGGTGTGTCCTCTGCTAGGCGCTCTAGCAGGTCAATGCAGTAGCCATAGCAACACTTGCGCAGAGCACGGGGCACTGAGCCATTGGCCAGGGCAGCAAACAGCGCATCCAGAGTGGCCGAGTCATTGGTGCCAGGGTCCAGGCACAGTTGTCCTGCTGGGCACTGCCCGTCTTCATCTGGCTCTCGGGCAAACACAAATGGGTGCTCCACCAGGGTCACCACACGCAGCTTGGGCTGAACCCAGGTGCCCTTTGGGGGTGGGGGCCGCAGAGCACCACTCCCTGGCTCCAACTCCAGCTTCCCGTCCCACCAGCTGCCCAGTGTGGCCCAGGCTGGACTGCCCAATGGGTTCTGGCGCAGGCTCCACACCCGGAAGTGCCGGGACATGTACACCTGGGAGGAGCTGGTCACCCACACTGGCCCTGTGCGGCCCTGGAAGGATGTGTTGCTCAGAAATCTGAAAGGAAGTGGGAGGCAAGCCGGCATCAGGCAGCAGAGCACCCCCGGAGTAAAGCTCAGACCCTGCCCCCCACCTCTCAGCACATACCAGGGACTATAGTGGATACTGATGTGTCCCCTCACACCAGGTCTCTTTACCACCAGGGGCCGAAGTCAATGAATGACCACCCAGTTTGAACGCCCAGGTAGGGCCCTCTAGCTCTGGGGTGCTGTCCAGAACTCCCCTGGGATCAGGGAGAGACATGCCTGCCAACCTCTCCTGCTCTTTCCCCACTTCTTCAAAAGTTCTAAGTAAGCCCCTCACCAGAATCCCTTTCTCAGGCTCTGCTTCCACAAAGACAGGGACAAAGATGCTCTCTTGTGAGGCCATAGTGTCTGGCATACAGCAAGTGCCCAATAATGCCCCAGGCAGAGGTGGCTGCATGCCCTTCCCACAGCAGGGTCCCCACTCACTGTGCCAAGAAGCGGCCTGAGGACTTGGGCTGCTTGGCTGGCTGCAGATCATTGCAGTTGATGGTGGCAGAGAGAAGGGTACGCTCTGGCTGCACATGGGCCGCGCTGGCCAGCGCCCGTGCTATCAGCTCCACTGCATCATGGATAGCAGCCTCCAGTGGTGGTCGAGCCACTTCACCCAGCGCCAGCAGCCCAGGTGGTAGGCCCTCAGTGGGCAGTGCCTTAGCGGGCAATGGCGTGCCTAGCAGCCAGCGGGGCCCAGGGGGCCCAGCCTCCAGTATCTGACGGGTGTGGGCCATGTCACAGCCAAGGAGCACAGCCACATGTACCAGGGCTGAGCCCCTCTCCAGCGCCCCCAGCAAGGAAAGGCGAGCCTGCAACTCTGCATCACTGGTGTCCGGCCGGCTCAGGTCCAGCACAAGCTTTGGGGCCCTGCCAGCCCGGCTTGTCCAGAGGGCCACCAGTCCACGAGGGTCCCGCACACGGCAGAGCACCAGGCCAACATCCTCCCAGGTGTGGGCCTGCAGCACGGACACTAATACTTCAAGCAGCGTCTCCAGGGGGCTGGCCCAGTCCAGCTGTAGGTGGAATGGGTTCTGGGAAGGGGGTGGTCACAGTTAGGGTTTGCAACCACCATAATGCCCTTCCCACCCCAATAAATAGAGGTCACCTTGATAACTAGACCTCATGCCTGCCTCCTCTCAGCCTACTCTTGCTCTAAACTTTTCTGTGGTTGCCCACAGCCATCAGCACAAAGCCCAAACACCCTGGCCTGACATTCAGGGCCTTCTGTTGTGTCTCTGGCCACTCTGTTAGCATCCCCACTTTGAGGATTTTTGCATGTGCTATCCCAATCTGAAATACCTTTCTCCCTCTATGCCAGTCAACACCTACACATTCTTCAAAATTCAGCCTCATTGCCCTCCCTCCTCTATTTAGACATCCTCACCCTCCATGCAGAACTCTGGCTCCCCCTCTGGACTCTCTCAGCCTGGAATCCCTCATTCACCAGTTCTGACCTAACCCACCCTTCCTGCCTGGGAACCCCTCAAGGGCCCAGGACTAAGGTTCCATGATCACATACTGGCTGATGACTTCATGCTGGGAGCCAAGTCAGAGAGTGCTTCCTCTTAGGACCCCTCCTACACATCACTGCCCCTTGTGCCCAGTGGTACCCAGAAAGTTCTTCTGGATTTGCTCAGTCGGTGAATGACGGGAGAGATTTGCCAGACATCTAAGGATGTTGCCTGCATGGGTCAAGGCCCCCAGAGCTAGGGGACAGGCTGGGCCCTGCTGCTCAGTTCCCACAAAAGCCCGACAGTTCCAACTGAAGGGGCGCAGTTCTTAGAGACGGCAGCAGAGAGCGCCACCGGCCTGGATTTGGGTCTTGCATCTCTCCCAGGGGCGGGGGCAGGGGCACTGAAAACGGGCCCCAGCATAGTGACAGCCAGGTTGATGAGACTCTGGGCCTCTTCCAGGGTCAGGGTCTCCCCTCCCTGAAGAGAAAGAAGGCCTGGAGGGAGCGTCAAGGTGGGTTTGAAGGGGGTCTCCCATCAGACCCAAGTCCCCATGTTGGGCCCCTCCCTGCTGGCTCTAGGAGGTGTGTGTGGGGGGGTCTTTTCCTGGGGTACAACAGGGTCCCCAGAGCCCTGCCTGTCACCCTTCTCTCCTCCTTATCTCGTTTTTTAATTTTTGTCCTAAATCTGGGCTTGGGGGGGGGGGGGGATGGGGGTGAATCTAGAAGAGAAAATAAACTCCAAAGAGGTGGAGAGGGTGAAAAAGAAGATAGAGGGAGGGCTTTGGAGTAAGTGTGGCCTGGGGACCCAAGAAGGGCACCTCACCCCCGGAGAGCAAACAGAGATCCCTGTTTTCCCTACACAGATCCGCGGTCCTGCGCGGTGGGAACCTGGAAGCACCCTCAGACGGAGAAAGGGCCGTTGGCAATGAGTGGGATGGGTCCTGGGGCGGAAAGGGGTACCGGCTGCGCGGTGGTGGACTCCACCACCAACGCCCAGGGAAGAGGTCTGCACCGGAGTTCCGAGCCCCAAAGGGGGCTTCCTAAGGGTTCTGCATTCCAGGGTCCAGAGGAATCCCTCGGGTTCCCGGAACCGTGGGTCCAGGGCTCTAGGTCCCTGAGCCCCTGCCACCGGTTCCCGTGCTTTGGGAACATCCGGGGTCGAGGCCCAGGTCCCGTGAAACCTGGGGCCGCCGTCAACAATTCCTGAGCATCCCTGGGGCTCTTGCATCTTCGGTCCAGAAGTCCATCCGTTTCCGCGCGTCCCGGGGACGCCGGCATTGAACCCCGTGTTCCCGTACCCCAGGATCGTCCCGGAGCCTCCCTGATCCGCATCCCGGGTCCCCTCACGTCCAGACTTCCAGCGTCGCGCGTACCGGGGTGCCGAGGGGCGCACGCGCCTCCAACCGCAGCAGACTGAGCAAGGGGGTCTCCGTGGCAGACGCCAGGAAGTGCAGCTGCAGCAACTCCTGCCGGGCCTCGGGGAAGGCGAGCACGGCCACCACGCCTGGCGCCGCCAGCGTCTGGCACAGGCCGTGGGCCAGCGAGGCGGGGTCGCGGGCGGGGATCGCGGTGGTCACGAGCTCCAAGCTCAAGTTGTGCGGTAGCTGCGGCGCCAGGACGGCCCGGGACAGGGCGGTGCGGACGCGGGCGCGGGCGGCGGGCGCGCGAGGCAGGAGGGCGCCCAGGCGCACTGAGCTCCCCAGGTGCGCCAGGGCGCCGCAAGGCTGTGGGTGGCCCCCAGCGGGGACCGGCCCCAGCGCCAGCGCCAGGCCCAGCCACAGCGCCCGCACAAATTCCATCCCAAAGTTACCACCAAGTGCTAAGGGGGCGGAACCGCCGGTGCCACGCGTGGGAGGTGGCATCCCGGCCGTCCCAGGCCACGCCCTTCCCCGCCCTCCTGGGCTGGCGCATTCCTCCCTGCCGGCCCAGCGTCCAGCGCCCGCCCTTGCCATTTCCTGGCCCCGCAATGCCAGCGACCCACTAGGGAGGAGTGGGACCCATACCCAGCGTGGGACACAAAGGTTCAAATGGCCACACTGCAGGGAGCTGGAAATAACCACTACTTTCCCCCTTTCTGTGTCAGGGGAGAAAACAGGCTGAGATTTTGGTTAAAAACTGCCCCCACACTCACCCGTTCCACTCCAGAATTCCCCTCCAGCCTGGGAACGTGACCCATTGTTCACTCAGGGAAACAGGAAGGGTCAGGATGTGCCGCCGTGCTCACACAGCAGCACTTCCCACCTCCAGAAATCCGAGTCTGCCCATACCAACCCATTGTGCTCTCATGTCGTGTGCACCCTGGGGAAACTGAGACAAGTGTGTCTGATGGAAATCTAGAGGATAGACCCCGTCCTCTAGCTGTGGGCCGGCAACTTACACCAGATAAACTCTTCACCCTTCAAGACCCAGTGCCAAATGCTATTGCTCTGAGAAATGTTCCGTTTGTCACCCAGAAAGATGCAGAACCCCACCCCATTAAAGCTCACTCTGCCCACCTTAACACCCCATCACATGCTGCCATCTCTGTTGCTTGAGTAACTTCAGACAGGGACACTTGGTTACATCACTGTCCACTTCTCCAGAAAATTCTATAGCTCCGTCATCTACCAATCCCCAAGCCTGTGTTCCCTAGGCCTCCCCAGCTCAAATGACCCAGGGTCCTTGTGGCCCTGGCACACAGCAAGTGTCAAACACTGGCTGAATCAGGGTCAGCAGCACTCCACTCAGCTCTCACCAAGTATTTCCCCAGGGGTGTGTGGATGGAGGACTGAGAAATAGGGGTGTCTCCCAGACCCCTCTGGGTGCAGGGCAGCCTCACAGCATGGAATATTCCAGCTCTAGTGAATGAATCTACACTTGGTTGACTTTTTCAAACAAAAATGCTTCATTTTGGAGCCAGTGTTAGAAAGGCAGGAAAAAACAAACACTCATATAGATAAAAAGGCAATTGCCAGCCAGCAGTAAGGACTGAAATTTGAGATGATTGTAATGAGGGCTGAGTTCCAGGTGACAAGGTTACTTCATCCTGTCACCTGGCCAGGAAGCATCCCTGAGGGTCCTGGATTCTGGCCCCCTCCCTGCCTGAGGCCACCATCATGCCAGGGAGCAACCCACTTACCTAGGTGAGGCTCCCAGTTAGTGTACTCAGGGTCCATTAGGCTTCTTCCCAACCTGGGTTATGGTCCCTCTGACAGAACGAGCCTTAGAAATTCAGACCTGTCCTGGGTAGGGGACACTTTCTCACCCTCACCAGGCCCCCAGCAACATTCAGGCAGTCAACATGGACCTTTTTTTTCCTTTCTTTTTGGTATGTGCCCCTAGTGGGAACCGAACCCGGGACTCTCTGGTCCGCAGGTCAATGCTCCAACCACTGAGCCAAAATGGCCAGGGCAACATGGGCCTTTTGTGACTGGTTTATATCACTGAGCATGTCCTCAGTGTTCATCCAGATTGTAGGTGTCAGAATGCCCTTCCCTTTTTTTTTTTAAATTTTATCCTCACCCTAGGACATTTTTCCATATTTTGTTCAGATAGAATGGGGGGGGGGGAGAGGAGAGAGAGAAACATCGACGTGAAAGGGACACATCGAGTGGTTGCCACCCGCACGACCCAATCGGGGCTCGGGACAAACTGCAACCAAGGTACATGCCCTTAGCGGGAATCGAACCCAGGTCTCTCTGGACCGCAGGCCGATACTCTAACCGCTAAGTCAAACCAGCCAGGGCACCTTCCTTTTTTTGTTAATCCTCACCCGAAGACATTTTTTCCACTGAATTTTAGAGAAAGAGCGGGAGGGAGGGAGGGAAACATCCACATGAGAGAGACACATCAATCAGTTGCCTCCCTCAAACATCTCGACTGGGTCTGGGGAATCCAATCTGCAACCCAGGTGTGTGCCCTTGACCAGTAATTGAACCCAAGACCCTTTGGTGTGTGGGCCAGCACTCTAACCACTGAGCAACACTGGCCAGGGCAAATGTCCTTCCTTGAAAAAAATTTTTTTCTTTATTGATTTTAGAGCGAGAGGGAGATAGAAGCATCGATGAGACAGAACATCCACCAGCGGCTTCTGCATGACCCCCACTGGGGATTTGGCCCACAACCTGGGCATGTGCCTTGACCAGGAATAGAACTGGCGACTTCTTGGTGCATGGGTTGACGCTCAACCACTGAGCCACACCAGCCAGGCCCTTCCCTTTTTAAAAAAAATGTTTTTCATTTTTTTTTCTTTATTCATTTTGAGAGAGAGGAAGGGAGAGGGAAATAGAAACATTGATGGGAGAGAACATGAATTGGCCACCTCCTGCATGCCCCCCACTGGGGATTGCACCCACAACCTGGGCACATGCCCTGACCTGGAATCAAACCAGTGATCTCTTGGTGCATGGGACAACACTCAACCACTGAGTCACACTGGTTGGACGTTTTTATTGATTTTCTAGAGAGAGGAAGGGATAGAAACACCGATCAGCTGCCTCCTGCACGCCCCCTATTGGGGATTAAGCCTGCGACCCAGGCATGTGCCCTGACCCAGAATCGAACCAGGACCTCTCAGTCCATGAGAGGGTGCTCAATCCACTGAACCACAACAGCTGGGCTGTCTTCTGAATATTTTTTAAATATTAATTTTATTTATGTATTTTTCTCCCCCTCCAACCCTAACCCTAATGTCCTTCCTTTTCTTTTTAATCCTCACCTGAAGACATTTTTTCCATTGAATTTTAAAGAGTGAAAGGGAGTGAGAGAAACATCCATGTGAGAGAGACACATCAATTGGTTGCCTCCCATACAACCCTGACCAGGGTCAGAGCCAAACTGCATCCGAGGTACATGTCCTTGGCTGAAATCAAACCACAACTCTTTGGTCCATGAGCTGATGCTCTAACTGCTGAGCCAAACTGGACAGGCCATGTCCTTCCTTTTTTCTTTTTTTTTTATTCTCACCCGAGGACATTTTTCCATATTTTGTTCAGATAGAGAGGGAGGGAGAGAGAGAGAGGAAGAGAGAGAAACAGAAACATAGATGCGAAAGGGACAGATTGAGTGGCTGCCACCAGCACGACCCAACCAGGGCCGGGGACTAACTGCAACCAAGGTACATGCCCTTAGCGGGAACCAAACCTGGGTCTCTCTGGACCACAGGCTGACGCTCTAACCACTGAGAAAAACCAGCCAGGGCCATGTCCTTCCTTTTTAAGTCTGAATAATAAATATTCCACAATCTGGATGGACCTCACAATGTTTATCCACGTGTTAGGTACTTGGGTTGCTCCCACCTTTTGGCCATTGTGAATATGCTGCTGTGACCACAGGTGTGCAGATTCTATCCCTGCTTTCAGTTTTTTTGGATGTCCATCCACCTAGAAGTGGGATTGCTGGGTCATATGGTGACTGTTTCATTTTTTGAGAAATAATCAGACTATTTGCCACATCAGCTATCCCACCAGCTGTGTACAGGTCATTTCTCCAACTACTTGTGGGCAATTTAGAAAATGGGCAGTTTAGTTACTGAAGCCTGGCCGGTCTGGCTCAGTGGTTGAGCATCAACTGGTGCACCAAGAGGTCACCAGTTTGATGCCTAGTCAGGGCACATGCCCAGATTGTGGGCCAAATCCCCAGTGGGGGGCATGCAGGAGGCGGCCAATTGATGTTCTCATCAATGTTTCTCTCTCCCTCCTTTTCTCTCTAAAATCAATAAAGAAAAAAAAATGTTATTGATTTCAGAGAGAGGAAGGGAGAGGGCAAGAGAGGAAGGGAGGGAGAGACAGAAACATCAACTGGGTGCCTCCTGCATGTCCCGAAACCTGGGTTCGGTAATATGGCCTGACAGTGAATCAAACTAGCAACCTTCTGGTACATGGGCCAATGCTCAATAAACTGAGCCACAACAGCTGGGCTGGACACTTTTTGTTTTAAACAACAGTGGTCCTAGAGGGTGTGAGGTGGCATCTCACCTGGTTTACAGAAACTCTGCCAGCACACAGTGGTCAACAGTGAATTCTGGTGCTGTCAGTGTCAAGGGCCCAAGGGAGCCAGGTGCCTCTGGCAATGATAGCCTAGGATTTGGGATCAAACTGTGCTAAGAAATGTGTGCCATGTTTTCAGGCCAGATGAGGAAGAGGTCAGCTCTGTCCTCACTGCCTGCCTATGTTGCCTGCAAGGTGCATGATAGGCTGGACAAACTCCTCTAAGCCCTCTCGTGGTAGCCTGCAGAGGATGGGCAACCTTCTAGGACTGCACTGGACATGTGGTGCTCAGAGAATTGTTACAAGGACCATTTGTGTGTTGATGTTCCCTCTCCTAGAGTGTCAGAGGCTGTAGGGTGGGGAGGTAACACAGCCCCTCAGGTCTGAGTCAGAACATCGGAACAACTCCACGATTGTCCAAGTGGACCCCACACCTTCTCTGCCCAGGGTACCCCAGCAATTGAAGCTTCAGGGTGGTTTTGGGGGGCCCCTGGCCCTGGAAATACATGCAGGCTGAGGAACAACGGGAACAGCCCCCTCCCCTTCTATAGCCCGAGACAAGAAAACCCAGATCCAGGGGAAGCTGCCAGACAGAGGCTGGGATTGTCAGCCCATCTCACGGCAACCTGCCAGCGCTGATGCAGACATGGGCAGCAGTACGAGGCTCAGAACTAACCCCAACTCACCTACCAAAAGCAGAGTGGAGGGCTGGGGTTCATGTGGCTAGGCAGAAGTGCCCTCACCAGGACCAGGGCCCAGAGGGTCTTGGGTCCTGGTAGATAAGGCACCCTTGGGGAGCCTGCACTCATCTCGAAGTCCCCCATCTATCTCCTGGAACCCCTGCAGACCAAGTTCCATGTCCCCAGCTTTGCTAATGAGCTGCTACAGAGCCTACTCAGTGTGTGTGTGGGACCACGATATAGCCCCTATCAACCAGTTGGACCCCTTACCTGGCACTAACAGAACAGCCCCAAGTATCATCCTGTCCTGGGCAGGGGAGAGGATGAGTGCGAGGACCAGAGGGGTGGAAGGATGGTGAGCCCAGTCCTGTCCCCAGGCAGCCTGCTGCAGTGTATGGCTGGGCCACCTGCTTGAGAGGACACAGAGCCCTGGGGATGGGGAGCTCCAATTAGTCTAAAAGCATAAATTCAGTGCTGGCTGCTGGCTCGCAGATGCAGTTATGATGGCACCTGATAAATTACGTGGGTTTTCTGGATCATTAAGCAGGACTGTCACTGGCTTTCTGGAAAGTTCTGAGGGCAGCCTTGTGGCCCATGCTTCTGGGCTGGGTTCCAGGTGCTGACTGGACTGGTGGTGTCCTCAGGACAGTGGAGGCACCTGGCTCCCTTGGGGCCTTGACACTGACAAGAATGTTCTGGTCAAGTGGTCCCAAGCACATGACCCTCCTGGGTACTCTGGCCCAGAACTGGCTACTACCCCACAGCCCTTGCCTTGACCAAGGTTGAGGGTACACTTGGTGGCCATCGGGATGTGATCAGTGTAACCATACTACTCTCCAGGAGTTCTAGCTACAACTGGTTACCTCAGTCTGTAGCTGAGGCACCATCCCCTCCCACACAGGATGGCCTGTCCTTCAAGGTCATGCAATGATATTGGAGTGACAGACGAGTGTCTGAAAGGTTTTGAGAACCACAGCTTCTCAATATGATTTTTAAGTCAGACCTGATGGCCTGCCTCAAGGGTCCTGGAGCCCAGCCTGGGACCTGGGACAGCTCTCAGCACACATGGAGGACTGAAGAGGGCGGACTTTTAAGTCTTTTGTTAAAAACAAAACAGAACCAACTGGACACAACAGACACCAGTGGATCAACACAGACAAATTGATCCCTCATGCAGGTAACAATCCAAACATGGAACCAGGAAAATATGAGCTTGTAACAGTGCTGCTGGTCTGGGGGCTTTGGCCCAGTAGCCCCAAGGTGGGTGACTCTGTCGGCCTGTCCGTAGGTAGGGGTCTGGGTCCCGGCACTCACTTGGAAGGCCGGGTGATGATGCGGGTGGAGAAGTCAAACAGGTCTCGATTGATCTTGCGCAGGTTCTGCACCTCGTCTTCCAATTCTGTGATTCGAATCCGCAGCTGGTCTTGGCCACCCAGCACGTTCTGAGGAGGGGCAAGGAGTGGGGGCTCAGGGCAGAGGGACCTCTGATATCCCAGAGGGGGGCGGATCTCCTCCCCAATTAACAGTCCCACTCCAACCCACCCCAGCCTCCCTTCTCCATGGCCCTGCCCACCTTTTCCATAGTACTGCACATTACCACGTGCAGCTGCTCTGCTCGCTCTAGGTAGCTGGGCTCTGAACCCTGCAAAAGAAAGGGCTGCTTCAGTGACCTCTGGGCTCACCATGCTGCTCACATCACCCAAATGGTGAGGTAGGTGCCATCCAGATGCTTGCTCACAGATGAAGACACAGATTCCAAGTGGTTGCTGGGTGTGATGTCTCTGTGGGAGGTGGCACCTTTCAACCCCACACCCAGCAAGAAGCAATGTGATCAGCCCACTCAAATCTGCTTCCTGGGGCAGGACTGTGCCCAACAAGGCCCAGGGGATAGAGACATTTTTAAGGATACACCACAGGCATGGGATTGGAGCCAGGCTTTGGGGGACATGCAGAAACCTGGGTCAAGAAGGCTCCAAAAAAGGACTGGCTAGCACGTGGGAAGAAACTGCCCACCCACTAAGATAGATGGACACTGCTGCAGCAGAGAGGTCGTCTACCTCCTGCTAGACACAGTCTAGACACACTGCCCTTGGCTGGTAGACAGGCACTTGGTCCTGCCATCCACCATAATATCTGAGTGAGCTCATGTGATTCTAGGGCATGAAACCACTGGGCAGAGGTAGATGGAGCACAGCCAGAGTGACAATGCCAGGCCCCTCCGAGGACAGGCAGGTGAGTGATCCCTGGAGGGGAGCCCCTGGCGAGTACCAGGAGAGTGAGTGCTGATGGTCATTAGACTGGGCTTAGTCATACAGTCGGAGGGGTCTCCTCACTGAGGGTATATGTGGAGTGCCCTCACAGGGACCCCAATCAGGACCCAGACCCATAGGGAACACAGAGCCATGCTGTGGAGGCCAAGACAGGGCAGGTCCTCCAGAGACCCAAGGGCAGGGCACCTGCTATAGCAAGTACCTGCTGGTGGAGGCCCAGGCGCAGAGTAAGGCCCCCACGGTGCTGTTCATCCCCATGCTCAGCCCCCAGGAGGTGCTTGTTGAAGTGTGGCAGAGGCAGGCTGGGCCTGAAGTCGGAGCTCAGCATGTTGACCGGTGCCAGCATTATGAAGGCATTGGTCACGGGGCCTACAGCAGGGCAGGAGGACAGTCAGGAGCTACGTTGGCCAGGCATGGGCCACGACTCCCACATCCTCCATTCCTCAAACCCACCCACCTGTCCAGCAGTGACCCATCTATTTTCCTCTCATTGGCCCCTACCTCCCAGCACCCAGCCAAGTGGCTAGGGTGTGGACAAACAGGCAAAGCCACACAGCTTACAAGCTCTTGGTCTTCTGCTCCCAGCCCCACCTTTGAGGGTCACTGTCCTGATGCACTGCTTGCTCTGAATGTCCCAGAGGCGCACCGTCTCGTCATGTGAACCGGAGAGCAGCACACTGCCATCAGTGGACACTGACAGGCAGGTCACCTGGTTCCTGGGGACACAGGTCTGAGAAAGGGTGGCGCAAATGACCCCCGACCCCAGGAACAAGAGAACAGAGCCCCTCCCCAGCTACCAGTCCAGTCCCCGCACCTGTGGCCTTTGAACACCTTCCCGCTGTCCTGTTCTGGCTGGAAGCTCTTCTCTCTCTGCCCAGGCTGCGGAGGCCAAGGGGCCAGTGAGCAGAGGGACACAATTGTACCTCAGCCCTGGGCGCCCCAGGGCACTAGGGATGGTGGGCAGGGGAAGAGCCCGCTTAGCTCAAGGACCTGGATGCAGGGGGGGGGGGTGGACAGTCCCAGGGCCTTTGGAGGACAGACCCTGGGTGTCCCACTGTCCCATAAGTCTCCAACCATTGGCCCAGGCACCCACAACTCACCCAGGTGCAGAGGTCCACCTGGAAGATAGAGCCCTCACTGCCACCGCAGAACATGTGATGCTCAGCTAGGTCCATGGTCACAGCCATAATGCCCACGTCAAAGAGCACGGACAGCAGCAGCTCGCCTGAGGAGATCTCCCACAGCTGGGGGCAGGCGGGGTATGGAATGGGGGCTCCACAGACATTAGGGTTTCAGTGGTACAAGGGTGCTGATCTAAGAGCCAGGAAGCCCTAATTGGGAGACCCTGGACCCCATGGAACCTCAGACAAGAGCTGTGATTCAAGGGGGTCTCAAGACTGGAGCACTTCCTATTACAGAGCTGGGTTCTCATGCCCAGGACCCCTCATCACCCCATTTTAGCTGCTCTCAGCCCTGGATCCTGCCCCCCCAACCACCAAGGACAAAGACCTGAGGGCTGAACAGCCTCAAATCCCTGAGGCTTAGCCAGGGAGCCACCAGGCACGGGTGACCAAGTGAGAATTTCAGAGCCAACATAAGTCTAGACTGCTTGCCCCCTGAACGTCCTCAAGGTAGGAAGCACTGGGAAATTAAGAGCTGTCTGGAGTCGCCAGCCTGGGGGAAGTAGGTGATTCACTCACATCAGCCAAGAACCCACCCAGCCACCCCAGCCCAGCTCACAGATCCACTGGGGGATGAGGGGGTGCTGGTCCTACCTTCACTGTCTGGTCCAGTGAGGCTGTGGCCACCCGGGCCAGGGGCCCCCCAAAGCCACAGTGCAGGTCTGTGATGGGGAGGGTGTGGTGGGACCAGATGTGCCGGGGGGTCGGGGTCCTGGAGGAGTCTGCCTGCAGCACACTGCAGGAGGAGTGGATTCAGGGGGAGGGCTGAACCCTGATGTTCCTACCCACCTCCAAGCAGCCACTAGGCCTATCCCACTGGTAGAAAATTCTCATATGGCTCCAAATGGTCCCTGGAAAAACCAATCACCCTTGTCCTCCTCACACTGGGCCCTGGGCCCAGCTCCTTTCCGCCCCGGAACTTTGGCATGGCTTTCTGCAGAGCTGGCTCCCTACCCTCTGTGCTGAGGCCTCACCTGGCTGGAGGTTACAGACCAGGTGCAGGCCCGAGACGGTTGGGACGCTACCTGCACAGGCTCCACACCAGCACCAGGCAGTCCTTGCCCCCTGAGAGGAAGTGGCTGCTGTCTCCTGTGAACTGCAGGCAGGAGATATCCTGGTAGTGGCGACTCAGGATGACCAGGAGGTTCCCCGTGGAGACCTGGGGAGGGGGGGGGCACAAGCAGGTCAGGGCAAGAAATGGGGTGCACCAAAGGGAAAGCCTGCCTAGGCACAAGGAGAGGGGTGGTGTGACTACAGCACCCAGGGAAGGCGTGGGTGAGAATGACAAGGCTGGTAAGGGCGCTGGTTCCTTCAGGAGGAGCTGGACTCAGGACCAAACTCAGGTGTTCCTCATGGTGATTACCAGAGAAGGAAGTCATAGACTTCTAGGCTAGCTGTGAGGGGCTTCAAATACAGCCTTACCACTTGTTCTAGCAGGACGGACTGGGGGTGGGGGAGCCTCTTACTGTAAAACTTAAGGAGAGGAAGACCCAAATCAGCAGAAAGCTAAGCAGATTGGTCTATTGAAGAGGGAGGTGCCTGGTGTCAGGGAGAGGTGAGCCCATCACATAATACCTGGGAAGGGATGGGGCATGGCAGGAGGGGAACACAAATGACGTTGTGGGTTGTGTCCCCCAAATAAATATGTTCGCATCCTAACCCCTGGAACCTGTGACCTTACATAAATATAAGGGCTTTGCAGGTGTAATCAGTGCAGGTGAGGTCACAGTAGAGTGGTCTCCAATCTAAACATGCGTGAGTGTCACAGCCAGGGTTCCTTATGAGAGAGAAACTTGGATAGACACAGTTGTTTACTCTGCAGCCCTATTCTAAAGATTTCCAGCATCCCCCACACACATCAGCCAAAGAGCAAGAGTGAAAAGCCAACAGTGGAAGCCATGGGAGTCAGGCAAGCCCTGGCTGAAAGCCCTCAGCCTGAGCTCCTGCCTCTGTTGGCCATGTGGGGCGCCCCCTTGTGGTCAGAGCGTACACTGGTAAGGAATTCTCCAAGAGAGTGGGGGAGCTAGGGCCAGACGGCAACCCCAACAGCCAAGAGTACTATGACTGTCCCCCATCAAGGAGGGGCAACCTCCTAACATGCTCCCATCAGGCCACAGGGCCCCTGCACCAGGCTGACAGCAATCACAGCAAAGATTTCTACCATGATGGGCAATGTGAGGAGCCCCTTCCTGCCTCCATTTCCCACCCTGTGAATGGACAACTGCTTCCTAGTTTCAGAAACAGAACTAAAGTTTAAAAGTCTCAGGATAAGATAATAAAGCCTCTCCCATCTTGCAGAGAACTCAGTTCCCTTGGCAGACCCGTTTTGCAAATCAAGGTTAACGTCAGGTAGGTCTCTCCTCAAAGAACCAACTGCTGGTGACACTACTGTTGGTGGTCTAACTCCATGGTCCACAGGCCAAGTCCCATGACCCTGGCTCTGACACTCACTTCCCATAGGTATATGCTCTCTGCAATCCCCGCCAACATGTAGAGGCCATTGGGCGACGTGGTCAGACAGGTGACAGGCCCGGGGCACATGATCTTCTGCTGAAGCTGGTCCTAGAGGAACATAAGACGCCTCTGAGCTTCATGCAGAATTTGGAAGCCAGGGGGCAGTGAGGAGAGTGGGTGGGAGATCCAAGAAAACCAGAAAGAAGAGATTATGGGTGGTTTGACCAAATTCACAATTCAGTAAAGAAGTGTTGATTCTAGCCTGGCCAGTGTGGCTCAATGGATTGAGTGTCCCCATGGACTGAGAGGTTGGAGTTCAATTCCTGGTCAGGGCATATGCCCAGGTTACAGGCTCTATCCCCAGTAGGAGGAGTGTAGGAGGCGGCTGATGGATGTTTCTCTCTCACACCAATGTTTCTCTCTAAAAAAAAAATCAACAAAAACATATTTTTTATAAAAAGAACTGTTTGCTCCAGCCCAGGCTTTGCAGGTTGGAGGTGGAGAATGGCAAATCCTTGGACAAAAGCAGGATGGTGTCCCTATGGGTGTGTGTGTGGGGGGGGGGGGGGAGGCACAGCGGGTCCAGGAGGGCACTGGGGCTGGAGAGCCCAAAGGCCAGTATTTTCAGTCCCCAATCCCACCTCCTTAATGCCCCACCTGAGACCTTGAGCCTCAGTTTCCAAATCTATAAAATGAAAAACAAGTTCTGTGGTCTATACCAGGTAAAACCAGAGCACAGAACCTGCCCCAAGAGATGTCAGCTGGCAGAAAAAGGCAGTGTACAGCTGCAGGAGCAGAATTTTGGGGTTGCTTTAAGAGAAGACACCATGGACTCTGATGAGGAAGGATAGAATCTCTTTTGGGAGGATAAAAGTTTCCCAGGCTACCCTTTCAGGGGATTACTAGGCCTCAGACCGTCACTTTCCAAGCACGAGATCCAAAAAACCCCAAATGCAAACTCTCTTTAAATTTCGCACCCATAAATGCATAAAAGGGTGGAACAAATCGACGTTTCTTTCTCTCTCTCTCTCATCAGTTTTTTAAAAGCTCGGCAGCGTCAGTCGATAGGTCCTGCTTTAAAAAACAAAAAGTAAATTTTGAGCCCCTTTCCTCACAGGTAGGGCCCCCGCTACTTCCCCAACTCTTCATGTGCGCATGCGCCTAGCCGGCTGCCGCAGAAACCCGTCCCACAGCTCCCCAAGCCCACCCCAGGACGCGTGCTTCCCTCCTACAAGAAACCCACGACCCCGCGCATGCGCAGAGCACCTAACCCAAACTTTCTCCCGTTTCAGGGCGTGTGCAGCCCCAGTCGACTCCAGTCTCGAGCACCCCGCGCACCCCCAGCTGAGTCCGGACCCGGGCGTGCATGTCCGCACCTTCCGCTGCAGCTCCCAGGCGCTAATGTAGTTCTTGCCCAGCTGCGCCGCCAGTAGGTACTCGCCATTGAGCAGGGCCAGGCCACGGGGCCCAGCTTGGCCACCGCGGTACGTGAGCAGGTTAGCGCCCGAGTGCAGCTCCCACACGATACAGCTCCACAGGTGAGCAGACGAGTCTGTACACACGGCCACCTCCATGGGCGCCGCCATCTTACTCCCCTACCGCCCCGGAAGTCCGTCATCACCAACAATACGCGGGCGACTTAGCCCGGGCGGGCTAGAGCGGCGCCCACGTTGTTCGCCCCCTGCGGCTGGACGCCTGGGCGTGCGCACTTTCCTCGGAGAGTGGGCTTCCCTGTGAATTAGGCTTTCCTCCATCCCATCACCGCTCCGCTGAGAATCAAGGGGCACAACGCCTGGTCCAAGATCCAGGTAGCAGGTCTCTTGCAGAGCTAGATGGGGAAGAAATCAAGGACCAGGGTCTTCAGGGGCAGTTAGTAGGGGCAGAGCCTGGAAGTCTGGTCTGGCCTTTTATGCGGGGCGCTCTCCGTGTTGTGCCGTTTGTTTGTTTTTAATCCTCACCTGAGGACATTTTTGCATTTTTACCTTCAGATAGAGCGGGAGGGAGAGAAGGAGGAAGACAGAGAGAGAAACATCAATTTGAGAGAGAAACATCAACTGGCTGCCACCCACACGAACCCAACCGGGCGGGACAAACTGTAGCCAAGATATGTGCCCTTAGCGGGAACCAAACCCAGGTCTCTCTGGTTCACCAGCGGATCCTCTAACCGCCGAGCCAAACCTGCCAGGGCTGCTGCTGTTGCTGCTGTTGTTTTTTAATACACAAATAATAAAGTGGTTGAGCGCTGACCCATGCACCAAGATGTCGCCGGTTCGATTACCCCTCGGGGCACATGCGGAGATTGTAGGCCAAATCCCTAGTGTGGGGCATGGGGGGGGGGTGTCTATTGTTCTCTCTCATTGATGTTTCTATTTCTCTCTCCCTTTCTAAAATCAATAAAGAAATAAAAATAAAGAACCGACCTCACAGGTGTAAAATACAAACCAAGTACTTGACACAACATATCTAGCATACTCACAGATCCACCATCAGCCTCTGCCTGGACCCTTCTTGAGGGGACCACAAAATCCACATTTTTATTTCATGAACTTGGTGCAGGTCATGCAAGTCTACAGCCCCTAACGTAAGGTCGTACCTGCTGTTCCTGCCACGTCTAAAAATTGCAGTTTAAAATGTGGACTTAGCCCTGGCCAGTTTGGCTCAGCGGTTAGAACTTCCACCCGCGGTCCAGAGAGACCTGGGTTCGGTTCCTGATAAGGACACGTACCTCAGTTGCACTATATCCATGGCCCCAGTTGGGGTCATGTGGGTGATGGCCAGTTGACGTGTCTCTCGCACATTGATGTTTTTCTCTTTTCCTCCCTCTCTCCCTCTTGCTCTATCTGAAGATGAATGCAAAAATATCCTCGGGTGAGAATTAAAAAAATAAAAATAAAATAAAATAAATGTGGAATTAGGTCTGGCTGTTGTGGCTCAATGGATTGAGCTTCCTCCCATGAACTGAGAAGTCCTGGTTCGACTCCCAGTCAGGGCACATGCCCGGGTTGCGGGCTCGATCCCCAATAGGGGGCATACTTTCTCTCTCCTTTCCTCTCTAGAAAGTCAATAAAAACATTTTTTTTTTAAAAGTGGAATTAGCCCTGGGGGGGTTGGCTCAGCGGTTAGAGCATTGGCCTGCGGACCAATGAGATCCGGGTTCGATTCCAGCCAAGGGCAGGTTCCTGGGTTGCGGTTCCTCCCAGGCCCTGGTCGGGGTTGCGAGGGAGGCAGCCAGTCGATGTGTCCCTCTCTCATCGATGTTCTCTCTTCCTCTCTCCTGTCTAAAGATAAATGGAAAAATGTCCTCAGGTGAGGAAAAAAAAAAAAAAAATGTGGCATTAGTTGCCAACCTTCGAAAAGGGGAGAAATAATTTAAAAGTCGAAATCTCCAGCCCGGGAAACTTGACTGTCTGGGGTGGTGCGTCTGCAAGCAACACTGGGGGCGGCCGCTGCGGGGTGCCTGCAGCAGGGTCCAGAGCACGCCCCCAAGTCGCTGGAAAGGGCGCCCAGAGTGTGGGGATCCGCAGCCCCAGTCCCGCCGCCAGGTGGCAGGCAGGAGCCACGGACTGGGAGGCTGAGGGTGGGCCGCTCCCATCCCTAGGGCCACAGTGTGGTAGCAGATACAGGCAGGGAGGGACTTCCTAGTGGAGGTGTCCTTTGAGCAGGGAACTAACAATTTGAAGAGAAAGGTGGGCAGAGGTAGGCCAAGATCCTATCCGCAGACCAGAGGGGGCGCTGGGTCATCTAGGACCTTGTGGGCAGTAGGGAGCCTGGATTTAATTTTATCCTGAGGGAGGAAGGGCATAGAAAACTGAAGGGCTTCTGTTAGTTGAGGAGTCAGGTGTCCCAACACCCAGCAACTGCTAAATGGGGAAATTGAGTCAGGGACGACCTAGTCCAAAGATGGATTGGAACCAGAACCAGCTGTTTCTGATTTCTACCACCAGAACCAGCTGATGCCGTCAGGCTTCTCAAATGTTTTTGAAGTGTAAATAAGAGTAATAAGATACCTTGAATGCTGATTTACACTTTGCAAACACCAAAATGAAAAATCTTTTAGGTTTTTCCCCAAACCAAATCTTTCTTTGAATCGTGAGATCGGCACTCACTCTGCAGCACTCCAGGGTGGGCCAAGGTGCCCTTCTTCTAAACACCAACTCAGGGCTTGAAACTGGCACTTCTGCCCTGGCCGGTTTGGCTCAGCGGTCAGAGCATTGGCCTGCGGTCCAGAGAGACCCAGGTTCGGTTCCCGCTAAGGGGTATCTTGGTTGCAGTTTGTCCCTGGTCCTGGTTGGGTCATGCAGGTGGCAACCACTCGATGTGTCCCTTTCATGTTGATGTTTCTCTCTCTCTTTCTCTCCCACTCTATCTGAACAAAAAATGGAAAAATGTCCTCGGGTGAGGATAAAAAAAAAAAAAAGAAAGAAAGAAACTGGCACTTCTGAGCCCTGGGGCAGGTCACTACATAGCTCTGGGCCTGTTTCTCCATGTGCAAAATGGGAGTTCCCCAGAGATATGGGGTCTGTGTCCTCCTCCTGGGAAGTCTGGCCTGGAAGTTTCCAAATTCCAGGACACGGGTGGGTCCAGCAGGTGTGGTTTGCAACAGGTCAATTGTGCCAATGGGGATAAGGGGCTCTGATGGTGGATGCTCAGGCTGGAACAGGCCCAGGAGGTGCCCCAGGGCAGGGCTGCTGGATTGCAGTCAGGCCCCCTAACAGGCCTCTCCCTTCCCCCTTCCCCTCCTCCCCTCTTCCCTTCCCTGGGGACCCAGTAGGCCAGGCTGCTGTCAGGTCATAGGTCACCCCACCCCCAGCCCAGTTCCTGGAATGAAGACAGACCAGTTGTGTCAGAAGAGCAAGACAAAAGCCACACTTTGGGGGCCTCCAGACCACCCAGTCACCAGACCTCCTTGGTGCCAGCCAGGCGCCACCTCCCAAATCCAAGACTGGGAGGCCTTGGTGGTGGTTGGGCAGCAGCAGCAAGCAGGCTTGGGGAAACTGAGTCACAGAAGCCTGTACAATTTCTCTGGTTCTAAGCCCTTGTTTGCAGGCTCTGGTACACAGTGATGACCCAAACCAGAAAGTCTTTCTGGGAGCCCAGCCACACCTCGTGCCCTGCCCATCTGGGGGGTGGGTGCCTTGAACAAACCCAGCAGGCCCCATGGTGTGCACTAATGGTATACGGAATAGTGGAGGAGTCCAGTGTCAATTATCCTTTTCAGGCATCCTTTCAAACCCCCCCCCCCCCCAATCAGGCCTAGTTTTGAGTTTCACCTCCTGGGAGCTGCCCCACCTCCTAATAGGCAGAGTAGGGAGGTGGGAGGTACCCAAGGGCTGGGGAGTGGTAGAGTCTGACCCCACTCTGCGTGCCCTCAGGGGCTATGTGACCTTAGGACCACCAGTCCCTCTCTGGGCCTCTTTAGTAGAGGAATAAAGATGCTACTGGCCCATCCAGTTTGCTGGAAAAGAGCTTTTTTAAAACAAACAAACAAAAAAACACTTTTTCCTTTATGTCCCTGGGGGGAAGGGGGCTCAGAAAGGTAGGTGGGTTGATCTCTGTCATCTCGGGGATCCCCAGCCCCATTGAGATGTAGATATAGCTGACCCATTTCAAGGCTGGAAAGTGACAGATGAAATGGGCCAAGGGAAGCAACCAGCTGCCACAGGAGGGGGTTGTTTTTCCAGACACCTAACCAGCTTTGGGGGCTGACCCAGACAGGAGGGACAGGCCCAATCCAGCCACAGCAGGAGCTAGTGGCAGGGGAGCCAGGTGGCAGGAGGCTGGGCCTATCCACAATCCAGCCATGCTGACCTTGAGCCCATCAAGTCTCCTGAGTGTGGGACACCCCAAGAAATCTCTTACAGGCAACACCTTGCATGCTGCTATAGGATTTAGGTTTGGAGGCTAAGAACCAGGGTTTCCCCCTACCTGGGCTGAGCCCAGGGTTTGCAACTATAGCCCGAGGGCCTGATCTCCCTTGGTCTGGTTCTTCGGAGCCACACTATACTGGAAGACAAAATGTTAAAATGTGAATCAAACCACAGTGGGAAGGCTTGGGGGCAGGATGGACAGAGGCAGGTCTGGGGTGGCTTCCTAAATCAAAATGAAGCCAGCAGGCAGGAGGCAGGGGTCAGGCCCTCAGGAGTGACATGGGTACCAGAACCCAAGATAGCAGGAGGCATAGGCTAGGGGGCTGGGGGACCAGGAGGGTAACACTGAGGGGGAGGGACCTACCTCTCAGACCTGGCTTAGCCAGGGTCTCTCTCTCCGAAGAACCGATACCAGGACCAGGTCACTCTTGGGTGGAGCCATCCTGGGCTCCCTGGGGTGTTGAACAGCATCTCTGACCTCACCCACTTGATGACAGAAGCACCCCCAGTCGCGACAACCACAGATGTCCCCAGACATTGCCCAATGTTCCCTGGGGGCACTGTCAGCACTGGAGAGCCCCTGTAATAGCCCCCTGTGCTTTCTGCCACCTAGACCCAGACAGCGTGCGGTGACGCCCAGAAAACCACCACTGAGACGTTTTCTGTTAAAAGTCAGAAGTGTTTTGTCTTGTTTTAATATCTCATCAGCTTTACAGGGTTACAATTGTCTTAAATATTTCTGAAATTTAAATACAATCTGCATAATAATGTTATAAAATGTAAACTTTCAGTGTTCTTTTAAATTTCAAAATCACACCCCCCTTTTTTTGGTCTTTTGCCCCCCCCACCCCCCACCCCTTAATACCTGAATGTTCTGCACAACTGAAATCCTTACCGGCTACCCCACCGGCCAGGATGACTGACAGGTGAGGGCCGGCCAGAGGTAGAGTAGTTTATACCTTTTTTAAAAGTTTCTTCCTTTAACCTGAGTTTAGGCGCGGTCCCCACGCCATCGGACAAACCCCAGAGAAACTGAAATTTCACATGTCAGGAATAAAAGGCTAAATTCATTCGTGTTTGCCAAGAAAAAAATGCAAAAGCAAAATTAAGGGAAAGAAAAAATTGATAGAAGTGGGCAAAAATCATAAAAGCAAAAAAAAGTGACTGTACAAATGCTTAACTATTAAAAACTAACTCAGCTGCTCCAAACTTCTGCCCCACCCCTTGCCCAATAGCTGGACAGTCCTGTGGCCAGTTTAGGGGTCACAAAGATTCTAGAAGCAGCCTGTAACAAACATCTCTAGAGCTGGGGAAGCCCCTGAGCCCCTCTAGACCCTGAGATTGGGGGTCCCTGCCAGCACTGTGCAGCTAAGCCCTACCCGTTCCAGAATGAACAGTACACAAGCAAACCACTGACAGAGATGGCTGCCCCGTCCCCACCCCGGTTTGCATAAGGGGGTGCTGAGCGACACCCCAGAATCCCCACCAACAAGGGTTGCCCTGAGCTGGGAGTGGCGGAGTGTAAATGGGGACTCAGGCAGAGGCCACAGCTCTGCAGCTGTCCCAGCCTAGAGCTCCCTCACCTTTCCACCCCTCCCCCCTGCCCACGGCTCCCCCAGTGCTGTCTTCCTGTCCCCACCCCGGCCCCCTACAATCACCCTGAACAGTAGGCATGCCCTGAGTTAGATCCGGGGGGCCATATTGCCCACAAGACATGACACTCAGGTCCCCCAACACACGAAGACATGCGAGAAGCGCGCGCGAGCGCGCGCGCGCGCACACACACACACACACACACACACACACACACACAACCAAAGACAGCACCCAGGCAGGCTCTCAGGTGGACACACCCATGATGCAGATGGGAGGGGACAGGTACTGGTAATTGCTGAAGCCCTGAGCCAGCCAAGGGGAACAGGAGGGCGGGGATTTTGGCATCAAGAGTCAGACCTGAGGTAGAAATGACCAGGCAGCAGACACCCCCCAACGTGGGCCCCACATGGCTCTGCTCAGGTGAGAAGGGAGAAGGAGCGTCCCATTCATTTCTCTTGGACAAAAAGATCCTCCTCCCACAGTGATTGTGCTGCTGCAGTGAGAATTGGGGAGGAGAACCTTCCATAAGGAAAAACAGAGAGGAAAGCCCAGATGCCTGCAGCCGTCTCAGTCCTGGGAGGTGGAGGGTGTCGACAACCCTGAGATATACCAAAGAAAGGGGTTCTCCCCAAAGACACCACAGCACTACACCCAGGCAAACCCAGACTGGGGGCAAGGATCAGGATGCTCCTGCCCCCCAAGGTCTCCAAGGCAACAGATGACCCTGGCTCAGGGATCACTGGATCAGGGGTCTGGGAGGCTGCCAGGGGAGGTACTACCATTCTTGGCCTCATTAGGCCAGGCTTCCTGGACCCAATTAGAGCTTCCAGGAAAACTCTGCGAGAAAAGAAACAGCGATAGGGTGTAGGAGGCACAGTCCCAACTAGCACCACCTGGTCCCCAGGGACCCAGCAAGGGCAGGGTGGCCAAGGAAGTCTCCAAACCCCACCTGGGCCTTTGGACAGAGGTTGCTACCTCGTGATGAAGACCATCACCATCCACTGAAATAAATTCCCCCACACAGCCATTGTCACACTGATGCCCACCTTCTACCCTGGGGTGAAGGGTGGTGGAGGGAATGGGTGCAGCCTCCTTGTGGGCCTCTACTTAGTTCCTTTAGTTATAGTTGGAGATGTGGCCTTGCAAGGGGCTGAGAGAGAACAAGGGACAAAGTAAAGGAGATGAGAAGGGGTGGGGTGTTCAGGATGACACGGTCCCAAAAACCTCATTCTGAGCTAAGCCTGGCTCACCCCAGTCCCCAAATATCAATACATCTGTCTTCAAAAGCAGCCCTTTCAGGCAAGAGAGTCCCCAGGCCATATTCATCCCTGAGACAGGAACCTGGGGGCTATGACAGCATGCCCTCTTCCCAGGCCCTGGCCCCTTTTCCAGCACTTTCTCCTTTCTAGTTAAGACTTCCAGATCTCTGACAGGGAGCACAGCACAGCGAGAAAAAGCATCCAGCGTCTTGGTCTGCCACTCAGCACTCATGCTCCCCTCCACAGCCTGCCACTGCATGAACCCCCACCCCAGCCCAGCCCTCAGCACCTGAGTTCATCACTTTTTCTGGCTCTAGCCCAGGGATACAGTGTCCTGCGCTTGCCAGCTGCCTACTGAGCCACAGGAAATGCACACACGAACCCAAATCAGTCATGGGAAAAATGGAAAGGATATTATTTTTTTTTCCTTTTTGCTTTTTTTCAAGTCCAGTTTCCCTGAATGAACACAAATATATAGAGATATATATCCTTTTCCTAAGGTTTGATTCCTCCCCCAAGAATAAAATAGAATATTTACAAAACAAAACCCCCCAAGCCTCTTAAAAACCCTATAGAGCTTGAATATCACTATTTCTTTAAAAAAAAATAATAATAATAACAAAAAATTCCCAAAAGCAACAAGAAAAAAATTCAACTGATCTTGGCTCAGGGGTTTCTTTCAAAACAAGGAGCTGGGTGTGGTGAGTGGGTGAGTGTGTGATGAACAGGAAAAAATAAGTAAAAAAACAGACAAAAATGAAAACACACAGTGCAGGGATATATGAGGTAAATAGGATCTGGCCTTACATTGCAACTGGTCCAAACCAGACACCAGACACCAGTCCAAATCAGTCTACCAGGGCTGGAGGAGAGCCCTGGGAAATATTTGCTGCTTTCTCTCCTGATTTCCTTAGCTGTTCTCACAATTCATTTCTCTGAATGTCTGAAACCTGAGTAATTCAAGTGTTCCTTGGTTTTCCCCTGTTTTATTAAATTTTCTTTATATATATGTATATATTTTTTCTTCTTTTTTGGTGTTAGCTGTGGCTCCTTTGTGGATATCTCCCCTCCCCACCCGTATCTTCCACCACCCTGGCCCTGCTTGGCCCACCTTTCAACACCCTACCCAGTCTGCCCAGCTCCTGGGGTGGGGGCGGCAGGTGGGGAGTGGTGCGATTAAGGCAATGAATTATTTGAGGTAGAAGACGTAGGGGGTGCGGATAACCCCGCTGGCCCGGCCTGGCTGCCCACGCTGCTGCTGGTCCCACTGTTTCCTCCCCGGCTGCTGCCACCACCGCCTTTGCTGGGAGCTGAGGGTGGCGTGGGGGCTGGTGGCTGAGCAAACAGCACTCCTAATGCAAGGATAGAAGGAGAAACATGTCATGGAGAATTTTAAAAGATTAAAATTCTTTAATCTGACAGGTACCAGTGGCTCCCTAAGCAAAGTCCATCCAGGGACCCACTAGGAAACCCATCACCTCCTCTTAGTGTCTGTTTCCTGTGGGGCTCTTTGCACAGCAAACCCAGATGTTCTGTGTCCCCAGCACTACTGGGTGGCCTAATATGCAACTGGCCTGACTACATTTTTTTTGGTACGTGCCCCTAGTGGGAACCGAACCCGGGACTCTCTGGTCCGCAGACTGATGCTCCAACCGCTGAGCCAAACCGGCCAGGGTGTGACTACATTTTTTAACAAGAAACTTTGAAACATCATTTGTACAGTTCACCCTTGAACAACACAGGTGTTAGAAAGGTAGTGACCCCTGGCACAACTAAAAATCCAAATATAACTTTTGACTCCCTCAAACTTAATTATGAATAGCCTACTGCTGACCAGAAGACTTACTGATAACAGTCATTGAACACATATTTTGTGTTATATGTATTACATACTGAATTCTTACAATAAAGTAAGCTAGAGAAAAGAAAATGTCATTAAGAAAACCATAAGGAGCCCTGGCCAGTTGCTCAGTGGTTAGAGCATTGGCTCACAGACCAATAAGTTGTGGGTTCGATTCCAGTCAAGGGCACGTACTTTGGTTGTGGTTTGGTCCCCGGCCCTGGTCAGGGTTGTGGGAGGCAACCAATTGATGTGTCTCTCTCACATCAATGTTTCTCTCTCTCCGTCCCTCTCTCTCTCTCCCTCCCATCCTCCCTCCCACTCTGATGATAAATGGAAAAATGTCCTCGGGTGAGGATTTAAAAAGAAAATGTTATATTAAGAAAATCATGCCCGGCCGGTATGGCTCAGTGGTTGAGCATCGACCCATGCACTAAGAGGTCGCCGGTTTGATTCCCGGTCAGGGCACATGCCCAGGTTCTGGGCCTCATCCCCATTGGGGGGCATGCAGGAGGTGGCCAATCGATGTTCTCTCTCATTGATGTTTCTATCTCTCTCTCCTTCTCCCCTCCTCTGTCTCTCTATGAATAAAGAAAAAAAAATCATAAGGAGCCCTGGCCACTTTGGTTCAGGGGTTGGAGCATCAGCCCACAGACCAAAGAGTCATGGGTTTGATTCCGGTCAAGGGCATGTAACTCAGTTGTGGTTCAGTCACTGGCCCTGGTCGGGTTGTGCGGGACGCAATCAATTGATGTGTCTCTCTCACATCAATGTTTCTCTCTCTCTCTTCCTCCCTCCCTCCCACTTTATCTGAAGATAAATGGAAAAATATCCTCGGGTGAGGATTTAAAAAAAAAGAAAATCATCAGGAAAATATTTTCAATATTTATTGAAAAAATTGCATGTACAAGTGGACCTACACAGTCCAAACCCTTGTTGTTCAAGGTCAACTGTATTTTTGAGCACATACTATGTGCTTAGCACCATGCTAAGTACTTTCTACATGCCGAGAACCGTGCCAAGTACTAAGTATATTACACTGAATATATATATTCAAGTCTCCAAGGGAAGGAAGAACTTTGTTCGCTCTAATAGCTGGGCTCATTCAGGCCAGACCCGGGAAATGAAGTTGTCATATGAAGGTGTTACCTGTATACATAATTCCGTTAATCTCCACTGACATGCTAATACTATTGCTGCCATTGGTGCTGGTCAAGTTTGCAGCTGAGTCCTGGCGGCTCTCGGAGGCTGTGGGAAGAAGAAAAGCCACCATTTGGAATCAAATCCATCTGTGCAATGATCTGTTTCACGTCTGTCACCCCCACTAGACTTAAAACTCCACAAAGCTGTGGACTGTATCTGCCACCAGCACACACAGGACATAACAGCGAATGTAAGAATGTATTTTTGTCTGACATTTGCTTTTATCATGATTGTAAGTCTTAAGCAATGTTGCACACCCAAATCATGTCAATCTTTTTAACAGCCCCAAAGTCTTCCAGACGTGACTCATTCATTCCTCACTGATGGACACACACCGCTTCAAGGCCTCCTGTTACAACATCATGCAAATGACTGCAATGAACAAACTTGTCTACACAGGTATCCCCTGCTTTTTGAAAATTCACATTATACCACTTCGAAAGGCTTCGCAGGAATTCCTTACTCTCAGATAGTGGGAGACACCTGTGTTTCCTTGCGTACCTGCACCAGCTCTGCTGTAGATACCAAGTAGATCACTGAGTCACATTTTCTATTTTTTTAATTTTTAAAATTTTTTCTTTATTGATTTTAGAGAGAGAGAGGAAGGGAGAGAGATAGAAACAGCGATGAGAGAGAACACTGATTGTCCGCCTCCTGCACGCTCCCCACCCCAGGATTTGGCCCACAGCCTGGGCATGTGCCCTGACTGGCGACCTCTTGGTGCATGGGTTGATGCTCAAACACTGAACCACATCAGCTGGGCCACATTTCCTATTTTTAAAGAGATCGCCAAATTGTCACCTATTTACACTCCCAGCAGCAGGACCCACTTTCCCACACCCTGACCAACACTTCATATTATCAATCTCTGATGTATGAAAAATGGTTATTTCCTTGTGAATGTGCTAATCCCCAACTTGTTGGAGTTAAACAGCTTTTCTTTCCTTTGTTTTTAATCCTCACATGAAGATATGTTTTTATTGATTTTAGAGAGAGAGGAAGGGAGAGGGAGAGAAACATGGATCGGTTGCCTCCATACACGCCCCAACCTGGGATCGAATCTGCAACCTGGGTATATACCCTGACTAGGAATCAAACCCATGACCTTTTGATGCATGGGGATGACACTAACCAACTGAGTCACACTGGCCAGGGCCAAACAGCTTTTCCTAAGAATTTACTAGTTACAACTGCCTATTTTTTCTATTGATTTTGTTTGCCTTTTCTTCTTGTTGATTTATAGGCATTTTTTACATAGACTGGAGCTCCAAGACCCTTATTTTGTTACACATGCAGAAAGCATTTAGGGTCTGGGTGCTGGGTTGATACCTTGGCTGTTGATACGAATGCTCATGGGCAGCTGGGCTGTCATAGCCAGGAAGTTCTGCTGTAGCGCTCGCTGCATGAGCCGTTGCTGCTCATCTGCCACCAGGGCCATCTTCTTTTCCGGAGGCTCCCCAGACTCCAGCTTCTCCCGAAGCTGCTCCAGGGCAGCTGCTTGTGCTGCCACGGCTGCCTGGGCTGCTGCCGCTTGCACTGCTACTGCCTGGGCTGCTACCACGGGGTGGCCTGCCAGGGAGACTGGCAGGCGGCCAGGGACCGTGATGGGGATGGCCGAATCTTCCTCTAGACAGGAGAGAAGAGGAATTGGTGGCCAGAAAGGAAGCAAGGTGGCCTGGCCCAGCCTTCCACCCACAAAGGAATGAGCACTTTCTTGAATACCTCCACTGATGGGGTGCTCACTCCCTCTCTAGGGAAGTAGCTAGGCTTTTTGTGTGTATATATATATATTTTTTAAATTTAATCCTCATGCAAGGACATGCTTAGAGAGAGGAAGGGAGAGACAAAGAGAGAGAGAAACATCAATGTGAGAGAGAAACACTGATCAGTTGTCTTCCACATGCTCCCCAACTGGGGATCGAACCCACAACCCAGATATGTGCCCTGACCAGGAATCGAACCATCACTTTTTGGTGTACAGGATGAGGCTCCAACCAACTGTGCCACCTGGCCTAGATGGTAGCTAGGTTTTTTAATAGACACAAGTGCTATAAAACACTTTCTAAAGCAGGCTGATAGTAGATACCATCATACTGGTAACACTGGTGATAACACTACTAGTTATGTACTTGTATTGTAGTATTTAGCATCAGCACTACATAGACACTATGATAGCATATAGTATATATAATATTAGTCATAACAAGGGCTCGGAACATGTCTTGTCTAAAGCACTTAACATGAACCATCTCAAAGGGCCATTTCAACAACCCCAAGTCTACTCTATCTCCAGATGAGGAAACTGAGGCTCAAAGAGGATATATAACTTTCCCAAGGCCACAGAGCTGGAGAGAGGCTGAGCTGGGATCCGAACCCAGGCAGCCCAACTCCAGAACCAGCTCCTAACCATTCCCCTCTTCTATGGCTGAAAAAATGTCCCTGTCATACCACCCACTGGTTCCACGGGGACCTGCTGTTTCTTCTTTCCCTGCCTCTTTCTCCCTTGTCAAACCCTGGTCACCAGATACTGCCCCTTCCTGCTGGGTCCCCTTTCCAGCCTTTGCAGTTGCTGGCCCTTTGCCCTGGAGTTTTTGTAGTGCCTTCCTCTTCTGGCCTTGCTCAAATGCCTCAACCAGCTTTCCCGTTACCGTGGACTGCTGCCTGTTGTTTTCAGGCTCTCTCATGACTGCCCCAGGTCAGACCCCTTTTTACCTTATCTGCCACCATCTTCCCCTGGCCCACATGGATCCTTAATAACCACTAATGGGTATAGATGAAACTCCCTGAAGCCGGGAGGGTAAACAAAGGCACACAGAAGACTGAATGACTAATATTAGCAAGACCTAACTTTTCAGGGCTTTGTGGGGATCACCTCAGATCCTCAGGACACTCCCAGGAAGTAGGGAGTCACAGCCTGTGTTGTAGAGGAGAAACAGAAACCCAGGGAGGTGAACTGCTGGCTGGAGGCCATGCTGCCACATATGCTACTAGTGCTCTGTATTAGGAAGGACCTGAGGCTCAGGGGTAGAGAAGACTGATCGACTGGTGATGTCTGCCATGGGTGCGGACTAGGAATGGGGGGTTATCTGTCAGGCATCCGCAAACCTGGGCCTGTTGCATGCTGGGCATTTTATACACTGAAGACTCCCAACAACTCTACAAATAGGGGGTAATTGTTTCTACTTTACTCATAAGGAAATCAGGCTCAGAAAGGGGCACTGAGCCACCCAAGGGCGCCCAGCAACAGCTTCAGGGATGGTTAGAGAGTCAATTTGATAGACCCACCCTACACTCTCAATGGTGTCTGCTGGGAGAGAGTGTTGAGAAAGATTCTAAAGCTCAAAGAGAAAAGAATACAGTGATCAACTAATAATGTCAGTCATGGGCAAGGTACTGGAAAAAACTGTGGTGATGAACAATGTCAGTCATAGGCAGAAGACTGGGCCAATGCTACAATAAATGATTAGCAACGCATGCCACAGGATTAGTACAGGGCTCAATTGACAATGTCTGCATTGTGAGGCCTGGAAAAAGAGTGATGAATTAGTAATGTCTGCCATGGACTCAGGATGGGAAAATTGTGCTTGATTTGTAATATCTGCCTTGGCATAGAAATGAAGAAAAAAAAATATTGACTAGTGGTGCCTGCCATGGGCATGGGGTTTGAAAAATGGTGGCTGTTTAGTAATGTTTGACATGAGCACAGCACTGCCTGATTTTCCACCCTCTTCTGTGATAACTTTGGGGTTTATTAACCTGTTTACCTAGAGGTGAAAATGTACCAACCCCACAAGTCCATTCAGCTTGAATTGGGAACAGTCCCCAGGATCACACAGCCCCTTACCTTTCTTGATCTTGGGAGCTGGGGCAATGGAGCTACCGTTGGTGCTGGTGGCCAGGCCCAGGGAGGACACGGGCAGCTTGGGTGAGGAGAGCATGCTGTGGGCACCGCCTGGTGAGTAGGCAAAGAGGGAGCCCCCGAAGCTCTGGCGCCGGCCCTCCCGCCGGTTGCTATCAATGGCCGCCTGGAGCTCGTTGGGGTTGCTGAGGCCGCGTTTCTCACACTCGTACGGGTACAGGTACTTCATGTACCTGCAGGAAGGGGGAAAGGGACAGGGTGGCACCAGGGATGCCTCCTATGGCTCTCTGCTGCCCTCGGCATAAAGCAAATCTCACTGTGGCACTACCTCCCCACCTCCATCACGCACCACTGCCAGGGAATCAGTTGCTAATGCTCAGAGCCAGGTTTTGCTTATGCTGTTCCCTGTCTCAATGCTTGTCCCCTTGACTACCTCCCACGAAGCCTTTAATACTTTTTTTTTTTTTTTTTTTTTAATCCTCACCCGAGGACATTTTTCCATTTTTTACTCAGATAGAGCGGGAAGGATAGAGAGGAAGAGAGCGAAACATCGATGTGAAAGGGACACATCGAGTGGCCGCCACCCACACGACCCAACCAGGGCCGGGGACAAACTGCAGCCAAGGTACATGCCCTTAGCGGGAACCGAACCCGGGTCTCTGTGGACCGCAGGCTGATGCTCTAACCGCTGAGCCAAACCGGCCAGGGCCGAAGCCTTTAATACTTAATTCCAGTAACCTCAGAGCCAGAAACTTCCTTAAAGCCCCACCCCAAGGTTCTCAGGATTCAGACTCCTCACGTGGCCCAGTGCCTCAGTGGTCCTTCCTGTCCCAGGCCCTTTGCACTTGCAGCACTCACTGGGTCCGCAAGGTGAAGGCGGCACTGGTAATGGATGTAGGCAGGTTGAGGCCCTTGGTGATCTCACGCCATAGCTTCTTATTGATGACCTCCACCAGGCCGCCCTTCTCCGTCACCAGCACATACAGCATGAACAGGTCAAGCACCTGCTTGGCCATGATGGGGATCCGGTTCACCGGTGTCCCTGTGGGGGAGGGGTGGTGTGGGGGAGGGAATGCTGTTGCCAGGGCCAGAGCCCCACATGCAGCAGAAGCCAAGTCTGTGGTTAACACACAGGTTCAGAGCGGGGTCTCCCCCCTGTGTGGACGTTAGGGCAGGTTACTCTCTGTGGCGGCCTCCTGGGCACGTGGGGTGTTGAGTAGCATCCCTGGTGCCCATCCACTCGATGCCAAAAGCATCCCTAGTCATGACAACCACAGGTGTCCCTGACATTGCCCAGTGTTTCCTGAGGATAGTGTTGCCCGGGTTAGACTCGCGCCCCCGCTCCAGATAGTACTAAGGTAACAGCTCTGCCTGTTTCTTTTTCATTTTAAATATTTTTAAATTGATTTTTAGAGAGAGAGGGGAAGGGAAAGGGAAAGAAAGAAACACTGATGTGAGAGCAAGACATTGATCGGCTGCCTCCTGCCTGCCCCCAACCAGGGATCAAGCCTGCAACCTGCCTGCCTCAGTTTATCAGTGATCTGGCTCATTGCTGAATTCAACTGAAGGGAGAAGAGGGGTATAAAGAGGGAGATGCTGGGGACCAACCTGGGGGAGGGGCATGAGAAATGCAGCCTTTGTTATTCCTATTCCCATCACCAACCACAACAGCTGCCAAAACAACTCTGCCTGAGTTCCCAGAGGCCTGCTTCCTCCCTGTCTGGGAGTGTTTGCAGTGTGGGGGGGGGGGGTTGTAGTCAGGGAGCAAGCGCTTGGTTAATCCACTTAGTGTAGAGAATAGGGCAGTAGGCTAGCCCAGGGAAACAGAGTGGTGGGCCAGCCCAGGGAGACAGGGTTATGAGCCAGCCCAGGGAGCAAGGGCAGTGGGCTATCTCAACGGGGGACTGCCCCTTGCAGACAGGCCTGCTCCCCTCCTCTGTCCACTTGATCTTCCACATGGCTTCCCCTCTCACCCAGAAACCCCCAGCCTCAGAGCCTTCAGATCTCAGTTTGGCCTATCCAGCACCTTCCTGGTCAAGGGTAGAGAAGGCCCCATTCAAGCCTCTTTCCCTGGCAGCAGAATCCTGGGTACACTTTCTATGCACACCTTTGCCTTGTCCTATTCACATGGGATCCTCAGTGCCCAGCCTGGCATACAGCAAGCATTTAATAAACAGTAAAGGCTGACAGGCCGCATCTCAGCCCAAGGGTCATGCTTACCCCCCCTTCAGAGATGGGCAAAGGGAGGCTGCAGGATATGACCTGATACAGGAAGGTCCAAGTGAGGGGCCAGCTTGCCCGCCCCAGGGGCCTGGACGATGCCTTCCACCTCTGGACATTCCAAAGCCACCTCTGACTGCTTTCCAGCCCTTCCCACATTGCAAATTCCCCAATGAATCAAGAACCACCTGGAGCAATGGCAGGAAAATAAACCTCAGACACCCCACACACACACCCCCAATTCCATTTTCAGCACACCCAGCCAGGAGATGTGGTCACAGAGAGCCTGGACAGAGATTTAGGCTCTGCCGGGGGTGGTGGTGGAATTAGGAATCAGATCCTCCAAGCTCTGTGGCAGGCAAGCAGGGCTAGGACGGATGTTTATAGAAAGAGGGGGGCTGGGAGAGCACAGAGAGGCATTGATGGTGGGCAGTGAGGGCTGTGAAGGCGATAAGAAAGGGTGGAGAGGTCGTCAGGGAAACAGCAGGAGGGTGGGGTGCAGGCTTTTACTTTGTGACCTTCTGTCTGGAGTGAAGGGGAAGAAGCTTGTGAGATGCAGGACATGGTGTCCAGGGTGAAGAGGGTCTGACAGATTCTCAGCCGCAAAGGCCCCCAATTATAGAGGAGAAGGGTCCAAGAAGATGGCAGGGAAGAAAGGGCCTTGCTCGGAGCTGGGTTGTGAGGAATGCACAGGAGTTTGTTGCTTCCTGCCCTCCAGGAGCACCTGTCTTAGTGAGGGAGGCAGAGCTCCACACGGACCCTCACAGCCCTGTTTGGCAAGGGGCTGGACTGGTGCATCTGGGGCGCCCAGCCTCACCCGCACAGAGAGGCAGCTCACAGAACTTCCTAAATACCTCTAGAATACTAGGTGGCTGGTCTTGGGTAAAATGGGTGGGCTCCAGGCCTGGAAGCTCTGAGCCCCATAGCAGAGGGACAGAAGTGGGGCTCAGGCAAGTGTGGACAGGCTGATAAAGAGAGCAGGGGGGATCTCTCTGACCACACAGGGGACAGCCGCCCTGGCTGGGACTGGGCTGGATGATAATATGATAACATGAGAGGGGCCCCTGCCCCAGCGCTAGGTCTGAATTCTTCCATCCTGGCACAGGAGGGGTTAACTCAGAGGCTGCAGCCCCCTCCCCTTTCATCTCCTTCCCTTCTGGGCCTGACTAGGCCTGTGTTTACAGAAGCTACTGGTGAGGGAGGGGCAGGCAGAGGCCCAGGACAAAGCAGCAGCCGCCTGGCCCCTATAATGGCCCCAGTGGACCCTGCAGCCCGCTGGCCCCACCCCTTCCTGCCTCTGTGGCTCAAAGGCCATGTGTCCTCTCTGGGCCTCAGTTTCCTTCTCTGAACAACAGGATCATAATAACCCCCCAGGAAGGGCTGTCCAGGGGTCAGAGGAATGAGTGCCACCCTGTAGTGGGCATTCCTAGAACAGACCTGGTGTCTCCTCCCTGTGGCAGCTCTAAGCTGAGGGTGAGGCCCATGGGCAGGGGACCTCTAGGGACCCCCTGGCTGCCCTTTGTCCTCTCTATGCCTAGTTCACCCCAAATGTCTGATATCATCTGCTGTCTGGGCCTCAGTTTCCCCATCCAGATACTTACCCAGACCAGTCCCCACTCCACATGTCACTATTCTCAAGGCCCAGACACTTCCTGGTGTGGCTGTGGTTGGCATCTATCTCACCCCAGGCCAGGGGGAAATGAAGGGCTAGACTGCAGTGTCAGCTTGGGCATGGTATACTGTTGACACCCAATAAATGCAGCTTGGCACTCAGTACATTTAGGGCATTGCCAACAGTAGGGACTGTTTGTGGCCCATCTTACAGATAAGTGAACTAAGGCTCCTGTAGGAGCAAGGGCAGGCTGGGGCACCAGTGGGCACTCTAGGCCACAAGAGCTTGAAGTCTGTGTGGGGAGCTTCCACCCTGTTGCCTCGGTGCCCAATTGTCCACCTGTGAAACGAACCCCACTCTTAGAACAGAGGCCAGCCCAAACCTGTTGTGGGGGTCCTGAGAGCCAGGACCCCATTGTATCCTGTGTCTCAGCAGCAAGGGAGAAAACTTGGACTGTCAGGTCTAGGTGGTACCCTGAGAAAACACCCCTCCTGCCCCTCGCAAGGATGTACTCCTTAGACTCTCAGCTGTGCCTCCCTGTCAGACTTGCAGGGCTGGGCTGTGCCTCCTCCCTCAGACACCCATGGCAGGATGGAGCCTCTTCCCTCAGACCCCCACATGACACGGCCATGTCTCCCCCTCTCAGGCACCTCTTGGATGCCTCCAGCCACAGGACACTCGGTGACACTGACTCGTCTGCCCCAGGCTATGGCTGGCAGGGTCCCCCTTCCTTGTGCCCACTTCCCATCACTTCCCAGCAGGCCTCACCTCGCTTCTGCATGAAGCTAAACAAGTCATCCAGGAACTCCTTCCTCTTGGGGTCCCCGTCCAGTTCATAGAGCTGTGAGGGCAGGGAGGGGACTGGTTAATTGATGCCAGAGTTTGGGCGCAGGAACCATGTCTCCATCACAAGGAAAACCAACTGCGGGGGCTGCTGGCAGGGACAGGCACTGGGGGTCCTGGCCCCAGCACCCCCCGAGTTCAAATATCTCCCAAGGCCACCAAGCAGATAATGAGTCTGCCCCCCACTTTCAGATGAGGACAGAGACATCTGGATGAGTCTCCCAGGGTGGCTTAAAACAACAGAGGTTTATCCTCCTACAGTTCTGGGGCCAGAAGTCTGAGATCAAGGTGTGCCAGGGCCAAGCTCCCTCCTGAGGTTCCAGGGAGGGTCCCTCCGGCGTCTTCCGGCTTCTAGGAACTCTAGGAGTCCCTGAGCTTGTGGCCGCATCACACCAGTCTCTGCCTCTGCTGTCATGTGGCTCTCCTGTGTCCAAATTCCCTTCTTCTTATACAACATGTCACTGGATTTAGGGCCACATCTCATCTCAATGCTTAACTAATGACATTTGCAAAGACCCCATTTCCAAATAAGGTAATGTTCACAGGGACCAGAAGCTGGGTCTTAAACATGACATTTAAAAAAATTCATTTTAGCCCTGGCCAGTTTGGCTCAGCGGTTAGAGCGTCGGCCTGTGGTCTGGAGAGACCCGGGTTCGGTTCCCGCTAAGGGCACGTACTTCGGTTGCAGTTTGTCCCCGGCCCTGGTTGGTTGTGCGGGTGGCAGCCACTCGATGTGTCCCTTCACGTCGATGTTTCTCTCTCTCTCTCCCTCCACTCTATCTGTACAAAAAATGGAAAAATATCCTCAGGTGAGGATAAAAAAAAAAAAAAAAAAAAAAAAATTCATTTTAGCCCTGGCCAGTTTGGCTCAGTGGTTGAACGTCAGCCTGCGGACCAGAGAGTCCTGGGTTCAGTTCCCGCTAGGGGCACGTACCACCAAAAAAAAAAAAAAAAATTCATTTTAGCCTGGCCATGTGGCTCAGTGATTGAGCACTGACCCATGCACCGGTTTGATTCCCAGTCAGGACACATGCCCAGGTTGTGGGCCCAATCCCCAGTGTGGGGCATGCAGGAGGTGGCCAATCGATGTGCTCTCTCATCGATGTTTCTCTCTCTCTTTCTCTCTCTCCCTTCCTCTTTAAAATCAATAAAGAAAAAAATAAATTTAAAACTCCATTTGAGAGAGAGAGAGGGAGGGAGGGAGAGGGAGGGAGAAAAAGAGAGAAACATTAGTTTGTTGTTCCACTTATGTATGCATTCACTGGCTGATTCTCATATGTGCCCTAACCAGATATAGAGCCCACAACCTTGGCGTATTGGGACAATGCTCCAACCAACTGAGCTACCCGGCCAGGGCTTAAAACACATCATTTTGGGGGGACACAATTCATCCCAGACAAACAGCACCCACCCAGGTCATTGCCATCATGACATATCCCCACCCTGTCCAATGAGTCACATGCACACTGAGGCACAGAGAGGTAGGTGGGAGACTGTGGCCCTAGACTGCTGGGGACTCTCAGCCCAGAGTTGGTCCTGGGCATTGACTGCCTGGTTCACCAGTCATCACAGGAGGGGAAAGGGCCCCTGGCTGGGGTTCTGGAGGCAGGAGGTCCCCCACCCTGTTGACCATTACCTCCTAGATGCTGGGGGAGAAAGGTAGCAGAAAGAATTAGAGAGGGGGTGGGAGCAATTGGCTAAGGAGGAGCAGTGCAAATAGCAGGCTGCAAATTAAGCTCCAGGAAAATATAGCCAAGTGGCTGCCTGGACACAGAGGGATCAGGACCATGGGGGACCTTGAAACCATCAGTTAGCCCTAGCTGGGCTGGAATAATCCATCAATAGGGCCCAAGAATGCCCCAAACCCAACTCCTGTGGCAGGGACATCCCAGGGCTTAGGGAGGTGGGACTGTTAGGACCAACCATTCCTCAGCCACTTTGCCCCTCTCTGGGCCTCAGTTTCCCCATCTGTGTAATGGAGACAAAGTGGGACCTCCAGTGCAAGGGCTGGGGGAGCCAGAAGCCCAGACCTGGGTGGTCAAGACCTTTGTCTCCTCCATCCCGACTGGCTAAGCTGCCTGGCTACATTCCTGCACTGATTTATGGCATCCAGGGAGGTCCATATTTTCCCCCGCCTGAAGGGTGTGGGTCCTGCAGGTGGACCTTCCATGGGAGTGCTCACGCCAGGCCTCGTCTGTCCACTCCCTGCCCACATGACACTTCTATGTGTCCCCTCCCTACTCTCCTCCCTGGCTGGGAGTGTGAACTCACACACACCTGGTCTGGTCTTTCTGCCCAGTAGGATGGATATCAGGGATTTTGTCTATTTTGTTGCCAGTATCTAGAAGGTAGCTGAGCACATAGCAGCTGTGTGATAAATGCTAGTTAAATGAATCCTGATTTCTCAGCTGCAAGGTGGGCCTGGCTAGGGAGAGAGTGAGATCAGACAGACTTGGGGAATTGGCAGGTACCCCAAAGTCATGTCCACCCAGAACCTCAGGAAGGGACCTTATTTTGAAATAGGGCCTTTGCAGATGCTATTAGCTAAGTTGAGGTCACACTGGAGTAGGTGGCCCTAATCCAATGACAGTGTCCTTATAAGAGGAGGAGGAACACAGACATAGAGGAGAAACCATGTGGGGACTGAGGCAGAGACTAGGAAGATGTGGCCACAAGCCCAGGAACATGGGAGTCCCCAGAAGCTGGAAGAAGCAGGAAGGATCCTCCCTAGAACCTCCAGGAAGTGTGGCCCTGTGACACCTTGATTACAGACTTCTGGCTCCAGAATGTGAGAGGATAAATTGTTGTTGTTTTAAGCTGCCCAGTGTGTGGTCATTTGTCACGGCTTGGAAATCCATTCAGGGTCAGCATGTTCTTTGAGATCCTGACCCGGTGGAGGAGGGTCCACACTGCCTAAACCCTTTCCCCAGGCCCAGCCCCCACAAGACCTCAGTGCTCCTCCTGCCTTAGTTTCCCCACCTTTTGAGGACATTGTGCAATAAACACAACAGCATCACCCTTAGCACCTGGAATCATCATGACCTCATATTCCAGGTGAAACTGAGGCTCAGGGTGGAGACCAGCTGCTTCATGACCCCTTGGCAGAGGTGTCGGGCTCAGTGGGGGTGGAAGGGCTGTTAACCCTCAGGCCAAATGGTGGGCAGACCCTCGTGGGGACAGGACATAGTATGAGGCCATAAAGGGGATGTGCAGTGAAGGAGGCAGCTTTAATAGCCGTGTCATGGGCAGCTGACAACAAAGCCGGGCAGTAAAGGCCTCCCTAGCTTTATGGGGCTCTGGCCCCAAGTTCCGCACCCCTGTGGCGTGTGTCCCGCCCTGGCCAGCTGGATGGGGCTGTCTGCCAGGCCACAGGAATGGGGGAGCTGGGGACAGTGTCAAGACTCCTAATGGTGGTGTCGAGACCCCACTTGTGGGCCAGTGGGCCAGGCTGCCTGTCCTCACAAGCTCTCAAGTCACACAGCTGGGCCACAACACATCCTTTGTCACACCCCAGCCTTGGTCCCATCTGGATTCTCTGGCTGGAACCCTGTCCCTCTCAAAGCAGACCAGGAGGCACTGAAATCAGCCACCTGCCATACCCACGGCAGCAACCCAGGCTGGAGACTGGGCCAAACTTCCGGAAACCCCTCCTTGGGGCTGAGAGCAGAGATAAGGGCCCCACACTCAACCCCTAAGACCGGTTTCCCTGGGACCAAGTGCCAGTCTCACTCTGGCTCCTGTCTGATTATAAAGATACCCATCCATGCAATCCACAAGGTCCCGCAGACCCTGCCGGCCCCAATGCCGTCTCGCCTCTTCCCTGACCACTGGCTGCTTCTCCAACCTATCGGGTAGTTCCACCTCCTAGCCTTTGCTCTTGCATTTCCACCCCCCTGGAATGCCTTTCCCAGCTCTGCCATAGCTGGCTTCCCCTTCATCTAGGTCCCCATGCTCAGCTCGAACATCATCCCCACTAAGGGCCCAGCCCTCCCTGAAAGAAGCCCCCCCCGCCCCGATATCTCAGCCACAGCCCCATGTCTCCCAAACACTCTGTTCTCACCTGTGCCACATTCACTGATGAGGACAGTTTCCCTACCCATTCCCACTCTCCTCCAACCCAACCCTCCTGTCGCCTGAGCCACATGGATTCATACCCTGGTCTAGTCCCCTGCCCATCTGCTCCAGCAGAATATGAGGGATTTTGTATGTTTTGTCCCTAGTGACTAGAATTGGTCACCAGCAGACACTCATTAAATAGACCTGGATACCTCAGTGCCGCATAGGACAGGGACGCTCATCCTTTCCCAAACTCAGATATGCCCAAGCCAAGACCATGCTGGGTGAGCTGCATGCCCCACTGGGTTTATTCCCACCCTATGACTCTTCCCAGGGCTGTTTGTTCAGCTGTGAAATGGGTGCAAAAGCCCGACAATGTGAGATGTGGATGTGAGAGCCTGGGTTGGAGGCACCCACAGATGCTCCCTAAGTGCACAGCTCCCGCCTCCTCTTCTATCTGCAGATGGGGTCACCTGGCCACACACAGTCTTGGCCCCTCTGCCTGTAGTGGAGCTCAACCCAGTGATGGTGCCTGTCCACCAATTACTAAGGTTGGGCTGACTATGTATCCATCTCCCTCTCCCTAGCACCAACCACTTCAGAAAGAAAAAACTGAGGCTCAGAGTGGGTGGGGCCCAGCTTGCTCCCCCCACACACACTTAGCAGTCCGAACACGACCCTACCCCCCCTACAGTCTTCCATGGCTCCAAGCACCACCACCAAAGACCTCACTTCACTTCCCAGTCCTCACCTCCCTCCGCTCCAGCACCTTGGGCCTGTCTCTGCTTTGGGAGCAAAACAAGCGCTCTCTCGCCTCAGGGCCTTGCACTGGCTGTTCCCTCTCCAGGAATGCAGTTCCCAGATCTCTGCACAGTCAGTCTCTCCTTTGTGCCCAAATGTCACCTTCTCAGGGATCCCCCGACCCCCCTTCCTCACTCTCCG